ATATATTGAATGAACATTTTCTCCTTTTTAAAACAAACATTTGTAAAACAGTGTTTGACATTTGTTTTCTTCCTTTCATATCTCCTTTGTATCCTAGTCTTGCTTTACTTTTCTTCCTTTCTCTCTCTCTCAACAATAACACCCACACTCTCTCTATCTCTCTTTCACTTCACCTCTCTTCTACTCTCTCACTACCAATTTATTTCTCTCTCTCACTTCAAATTTATTTCTCTCTTTCATTTCAATTTTCTTTCTCTCTCCTCTCTCTCTCTCTCTCTCTCTCTCTCTCTCTCACGTTCAACTTTCTTTCTCTCTCTTTCACTTCAATTTTCTTTCTCTCACATTCAAATTTATTTCTCTCTCTTTCACTTCAATTTTCTTTCTCTCTCTCTCTCTCTCACATTCAAATTTCTTTCTCACTTTTACTTCAAATTTCTTTCTCTCTCTCTCTCTTTCACTTCATCTTTCTTTCTCTTTCTCACTTCAACTTTCTCTCTCTCTCTCTCTCTCTCTCTCTCTTGCATTTACTCTTCTTTCCTTCCTCCTCTCCCCCTCTCTCTTCTTTTCTCTCTGTATTTATCCTTCACAAGTACCTCCTCTTTCTCTCACTCTGGAAGGAGTAAACTTATATCTGCTCCACGAGTAGCTCTCAATTAAGCGTGCTATCATGATTAATGAGGCCTAGAAGCGTTGTTGCAAGAGAGCTAAATTGCTTGGGGATCTTAATAAATTTGATCATCGTGGATCATCAAAGACAAAGACTAATTAAGGCACTATCAGATCGGCCATGTAATTGACCTATTAATCATCAATATTGTGTAAAAACAACTTTGTTATCGGTCGAAAGACTAACAGAAAAAGTCTTCATTGGTAGGAAGGTTTTTCTTTAACATTCTTTTTTAAAAAGTCACATCAAATTCATTTTCCCCTATTTTTCATGAGTATCACAAACTGAAGTATCACAAGCATTTAATTCTGAATTCATGTCTGCTTGACCGTTCCCTTTTTTTTTGGGGGGGGGGGGGGGGTTAGAAGAACATATTTATCGAAATATTTTACATTTTCCCCCTCCTAGTCCCTCATACCAATGAAATAGTAAAAACATTGATGGTAAATGGATGTTGACCAAGAAACAAGTAATTTCTCCCAAATTACATTTGGACATTGCTTAATATTTCATTTGATTTCTCTGCTAATTAAGTATAGCTTCACATGCCTGATCCAGAATATCTATCAAATACGGTAGTAGTAAAGATAATCAAATCATAAAATAATTTTTCTATACATTACCTAAGGAAAGTACTAAAATTTCATCAAAGAGGAGTGTTGGCAACATTGGAGCTGGATTTACTATGCCTAAAGATCTAACATTGTCTAATACATACATGTGTTTGTAAAAGGATGTCCCTTCCAAAATAATACACGATTATTTCATATGGCAGAGTAGAGAATACATTCACAAAGAAAACGGGAGACAAAACAGGAGAAGGAGAGAGCCCTTAAGCGTTGGAGTTTGAGGAGACTTAGCACATTTTCCACCTCATTTCTGCTCTCTCCATCACCGGTGCAGCGGGAGAGCATATCCAATCCGGTGTGCAGCCATTTATTAAATCAGATCATTGGAGGTTTAAGAAAGTTGTATTCATGTATCTTTCTGCCTTGGGGCATTCATTCAAGCCTTCACAGACTTATTGGGAATGAACTTCTGCTGGGTTTTTATGTTTCATCGTTTTTTTCCCACCTTTTATTTCGAGAATGAACATGATTTAATCATTTTTGTTCTCAAAAATCTGGTAAAAAAATTTAAAAAAAAAATAAAAAAAAATAAAAAATTATTTAACCGTGAAGAAAAAAAAAAATCGGGAAAAAATCGGGAAACCGATTTAAATCGGGTTTTTATCAGGCCTGATTTACCTATTTAGGCAAGGCCTATGACAAGTTGAAAATGGGTTCTTTATCACTTTACTCTCAATTGACATATTGAATGAAACATGGTGGAAATAGATCTCTTTTTAAAATAGTGATCGTAGCTATACTCAATCAAATGACACAAAGATATACTGTGGTACAGTACCTCACTATCTACTGAGTATAAACAATGCACTTTCCGGAAGAAGAAAATATATCACAAATTTAGCTTTAAAAATCTCAGATTATTGAGTATGCTTAATGAACAGAAGTTCAGGAAACCCCAGTCGGAGATAGAACAAATATGACATGTGCAAGGTCAGAAGTGATGAGGAAAACATATCTGTGCGTTACGTCTCTCGTTTCGGTTTGAATGGAGCCCATTTTCCATGGCCCATTAATTGGGTGGTGGTAATAGTGCAGGGGTCTGGGGGTTCCCGGCTGAGTTTGGGGTGAATAACACTGGTTTGTAAAGCCCCTTTTAGACAGGATGCGATAAACCACCATGAAAAAAATTCATTGTGGCAATATGATAACCGTTTCATGTTTAAATTAATGGAAAGTGAGGATAGAAAATGAACAAATGCAACAATGTCCTCTTTTTCATTTGCTGTTATTAGATTAAAAAACAACAACATGTAAATCAGATCTCTTTATTTACATCTGTGGAAAGGTGTACATGTATGTCATTAATATCACTATCCAAAAGACTCAACACAGTTTTGAAACTGAAGAAACATAAAGGTTGTATTAAGTCCTGTCTACATAAAATGATAAACCACTGTAGCAAAAGCAGAGTTTTTCAGGGCAGAAAACATATCAGTGTTCAACAACTGCCCCAATGCGTATTAACTTATCTGTGTTTTATAAGATGTTAAAGAACTAATAAGCGCATTGTTCTCATCTGACTGAATTTAGAGTTTTGTCGCTGTTGAATGTTTTAAAAAGCAGTTTATGGCGCCAAGTCTGAATGGACCTTTTAGAGACAGTGTACTCTTTGATTGGCTTGCAGAAGAAGATGCTCCCAGCTCTGGACGCAAGGTGATGATGGACAGGAGAAAATTATCCCAAAGAAAAAAAAATGAGAATTTAAATACCCCCACTTACACCGGGCCAGCAAATTTTAGGCTCGCCTCTGCAATCATGTCAATTCCCCAGCTAAATTAGATCTAGCAGATGAACTATCTGAAATATTCAGGGGTTTTGCACAAACAAATTATCGGTTTGAAAGATATTACAGATGTGCATCTCCAGATTATAAATGGGGGATATTGTGTGCACTAATGATTGGGGTGGGAAAAACCAGCTTGAAAATAACTTTTTTTTCCCCTGATCAATACAAATGTTCACAAATTAACAAAAATGTGTTTTATTCAAATACATGAGTTTCAATATTGTTTATTTGTTTTCACTTTGAGCTGAAGACATGTTTAAACACAAACTCAAAGTCACACTGAGAAAAGGGGGACAATCAAACAAAGCATGGATGAAATTAAACAAATTGTAATTCTACAATCATCAATGAAAAAAGGATCTGTTTAAAGAGTAAAGTCTTGTGTTGAAATTATGCAAAGTCTGTTTAATGATCCAAACAATTGTGACAGATATCATTACCGGTTCTTTGCATTCTGATAAGTATCTCACATTATTATTATTACTATTAACAAGGCTGGTCATCGCTAAATCTTGGGTTATATTTATCCCCCCCAAAAAGGACGAAGAAGAAGAAGATCGATAGGACAAGAAGAGAAATAAGAATGGTCTGAACTGCACTCTATAATCAAAATCAGAGGACATTTGTCTCTTTTGCAAAAGTCTATCATTTTTAATATATCATTTTACAATAGATGGATGCACAATTCAACCAAAGGGACAGAATATGTAGTTTTTCTTTAAATCATATACAGGATAAAACAGCCTTAAGGTAGTCCGGTATAAAATTCTAGGCTGTTGATTAGCTATAGGCCAAGCGGTGTCCTTGAATGACAGATCAATTTCTACTGATTACCACTACAACGACAGGTTGGCATATAATAATACATTCACCTGGAGTTTTGAATGAAAGCAGCAATGTAGTCTCAAGGCACAGACTGTGTTTTGTGGGACAAATGCAAGAGTAGTCTGAAAACACAGACTGCGTTCATTCTTTTAAAGTGTATCAATAATTAAAAAAATAAAAATAATAATTTGAGTATAGTTAGAACGTATAAAATCAACCTCAAAACACTTTATCTTGCATTCTATATGTTAACAAATGGCTAAAACTATTTTCAACCAGATATTGTGAAGATGATGGCAAAATTGCCCCCCCCCCAAAAAAAAAAGCACATGGAACAATACAAAACAACAACAACAAAACCAAAACACTCAACACAAAACAAAAAAGCTATCAAAGCTTGATCAAAGTGGACTAAAAAATGCTAGCAAATGCTGCGGAAATGATTAGACACAAAAGTTATCTGTTTGGTGATTATTGAATTAAATCATTCCTGATTGGATCAGGTGGCGATCTTTAAATGTCCATTGTAGCATTGATCCCTTGTCAATCTTGACCCTTAAGTGATTCCCCTGGTGTGGGCAGCATATATATATACACCACTTGCGTTTATACTCTGTGTGAATGGTGTATATGGAAGGTCGAAGTACTATGATATCGAAACAGTTACAGAAGACGTCTCAGGAACATGCAGGTGGGACTAACTATGTACATACCATCAGACAACATGACCATCAAAAAATATCTTCAGTGACTGTTTCTCTTATTTTCATCTCCTGTCTCTCCCTTTTATTATTATTTTTTTGTCTCTTTATTTCTCTCTTTCACTCTCTCCCTATCCTGCAATTATCCAAAAATACACTCTTTTTATATCCCCCCCCCCCCTCTCTCTCTCTCTCTAATTATACATGAATATCATCACCTACAAACCTACATAATGTTTAGAATTTATCTCTTGACTGGAAGAAAGGAGAGATCCAATTTATGTTTGATTTGACTGGATTAACCTGTAAAAAAAAAAATGATGGAATGTGTCGACAAGATAGCTTTACAAGCAAAATTACATCCGCAAAACAAGAGACAAATTTTGACTTACCCCTTTAAGGTTGTGGTCATGGAGGGTGGAACGAAGCTGCATTTCAAACTGACCAATGGCAGTAAGGCTCTCTTGGATGGTCTTATCAACAAACACATCAGCACCGTCCAAGAAACCTTGCTTTAGTTTGAAGTCAATCTGTAAGAGAGATGAACAAAAAGTAAAAGAAGAAGAATAAATAGTACATTTGCTAATGATTTCCTTTCATCAATTTTTTTATAAAGGAACCAATATCCCCCTCCAGGCTCTCAATCAAGAGGTTCTGGGTTCAATACTTCTTCCATGCCTACATCCTCAGACAAGGTGTTCTGTCCCTATTTGTCCCATTCCACCCAGGTGTAAATGGATACCTGGCAATGCTGAGGTAATAATAATTGCAGGGGCCACAGGAAGGGTAGTAGTAATACCGGTGTGGCTACTCTGGGTTAATAAGACCACGTTATTTTAATTACTAATTGGCATATTGGTAGAAGATGTATTTGCAGCAGATTTTTAATTATATTCTTTCATTAAAACTCATTCAAAGAGAATCAATCATCTCAACCCCCTCCAAATAAAAAAAAATTATTGTATATCGTTTTGATTTCTTGGAACCCCATTTGAGGTATTTAGTGAAATCTTACATTCTACATGTATGTTACATAACATACACAAGATAAAGAAAATTACTTCATTCACCGTTTCAAGAATTAGACATTAACTTTGACACTTTACATGATGTACATGAATGGTCTAACAAACAAATTACAACTTCAAGAGAGAGAATAATTAAAATGATTGAACTCTCAAGGATTTTTATTTGAAATGATTTAAATTATTATTTTTATATTACTGTGATGGAGAATCTTCCAAATTGAGTTGTTAGTACTATTATACATAAATAGAGAGAGAGAGAGAGAGAGAGAATAGAGAGAGAGAGAGAGAGAGAGAGAGAGAGAGAGAGAGAGAGAGAGAGGAGAGAGAGGAGAGGAGAGGGAGAGAATAAAAAGGAAAAACATTTACTTGTTTGTCTTCGTCATGCTCTCCCTGACCCATAAACCAGCATGGGGTGTCGGTGATGAAGCAAAGTTCTCCTAAGATACGTGAACTGAATATAAGGTCCTTCTGCATTTCACTAGCGGCTCTGTAGTTATCCCTGTTGCCATGCTTTGTGACATTCTGAAAGAAAGGATAAAAAGTAGGGTTCATGAATAAAGATTAAACAAATTAGGGGTTGATTCAGGATTAACAGAAGGAAGTGGGGGGAGGGGGGCAAAATTTTGTGCCCCAACAATATATTTTTTTCCAGAATCATGTTTTTGAGAATTTGCCAGCCCTTTCCAGAGGAAAAATTCTTTTTCTTCAGGGGAACAGCAATTTTTTTCCTCAGGGGTGGGAAATTATTCCCATCCCCACAAATTTGGCTGTATTTTTTTTGCTGTCATATAGATTTGGTGTGTAGGGCCTACATGTACATGTACATCATATGCAAATGACCTTATGCATTAAAGCCTCTCAATATCGATATTCATTTTCAGCTCAATTTGCCATGGCAACATATCTGGCAAAAATAAATTTCATTTCATTAAAAAAATCCCTCTCATGTATTGCTATTCATTGCGACACATTTTCAAAACACACATCAAATTGCTGTGCTATGGATACACAACTCATCACACTGCAACCCATTTTCCCGACCCCTTTATATTCCCATTGCCTTTTCATCGAAGAGAGACTCTCACTTTAACGCCACTACGCCGCTCTCCCCTTCATCTCCCATGTGCATAATGAGTGCCTTTATTAAATTTTCAGCCACTTGTAATTGAGTTAAAAACAGAGGTGATTTAATCAGCTCAAGCTCATTACCCCCTTGTCATAATCTACATGAGATGATGTTGTAATAGGCCTCCCCCAGGTTATGAGACACAAAAACAATAAAGAGTTTACAGGCAGTTTCATCCGTGGCCTTGCGTTTATAGAACAGATACATTTTGAATGCAACTTGTACAATTAAGGCTCGTTCAGATATGATGCGATAAACCTGCACCAAATTAAAAAATAAATAAAAACAGGGCATTCTTTTTATTAGGTGAAAGTGACTGGCAATTGTGTGCAACAAAGGTCATTTGCCTATTCATTGAACTTTGCATTATAAGAAAGAGAAATGTGAAGATTATTACACATTACGTTATCTTTAGAAGAACAAAAATTAAAAAAGCAGCGGTTTACTGCTGCATATCTATAAGAGATATTATGAAGTCCTTTTTCAAAGTGGATCAACTTCTTTGAATGTTGATGAAAACTCATAAAATGTGATGAGATTATATGCACATGTATGTGTATGAAATTATCAATATAACTTACATGCAAAAATTAATGTTTCATTACAAATTTCAAAAGATATTGTAGAAAAGGTTTATATCTTATTTAAAAGAGGATGATCATCAGGTGAATCCCCCTAAAATTACTTGCATATCAATGATAGATATTGACTGCATGCTGTAGCAGCAGTTACAGCACAAAAGCTTACATGTGACATTCAAATGGGTAAGAACTCAAGACCGTTAAAGAGGAAAAAATGATTAAACATGAAGGCCCATAAGAGAGCTAACATGAGCATGTGTGTTCACTAGTCTACTGATAAATTGCATTTACCCGGTTTGGTGTGTACATAAAGTGGCAATATCTTTTCAAGGAGGTACATGTAATATGTGAATTTTCAATATGGTAAACTGCCGTGGAACCCGAAACAAACTGAGTAAAATATTTGTTGTGAGTAGCTTATTTTAGAGGTAATATGTGACATCTTCTTTGTTGTTGCAAATTAAAAAAGCAACTTTTCAAAACCATTTTCAACATATAGTCATGTTTCACCTGTATCATTTCATAGATTTGCTTGGCCAGTTTCTGACTGCAGTCTTCCATTTGCTCCACTAGACTCTGGCTAGCTTTGGCCTGATGAGGGCGATGTTGACTGTGTTCCTCATCTTGCCGATGAACCAAGGTGGCCCATAGGTTTGAAAGACAGTTTAAAATGTCAATGGATATCGTTGTTTGGAGTACTGACGACTCGATGGGCTTACCTGGAAAAAAAATACAGTAAATAAAACAGATCATATTATTAAAGTAAATGATTGTGATAAACATGTTTGTTCATATACTACAAAATAAAAAGTCCTTTTCAGAGCATACAAATACTACTTGATTACTGATTTAAAAGGATATGAGTAAATCTACAATTTGAACTTTGTAACTTGTATCAGGACAATTACCCCCTCCCTACTTATTTATCACCTCTGACAATTATCCTTCTCCCCCCCCCCCCCCACAAAAATCTTTCATTCCAATCACTCTCAGACCAACGGTTGTAACTAAATTGACAGTTCAAGGGGTAGTTATCCTGCAATCAAATTATCGATACGACTTGCATGGTTGTTCTGAATAAGAAAACTTGTTCTGTGAGAGGCATGTAGATTATTGGGAGGGTGGGGGGTGGGGGGTATGGGGAAAGTTGCATCAAGAGGCAGTTGACACATACTCGTGCCATCAAATAATAAATTATATATTAATTATAGATAATCTCATCAGAACTTGAAAGATGTCTTTTCCTTTCTCTCACGCCACTTTCTCTTTTGTTTATCTATTTACTTATTATTTTCTTAATATTTTTTTGGGGGGATGGGGTATGGAGGTATGAGATGAAGTTATATGGGCAGTTGAACTATACTCATGTGATCCAAAACTGTAAATTATCTCACTAGGTCTTGAAAAAGGCCTCATCCTTTCTCTCACTCACTCCCTTGTGGATATGGGGGGGGGGGGGGGGGGGGCATTTTTTGGGGAAATCTATTAACAATGGTCAGCTGAAGGACACTTGTGTCATCTAAAAGGTATATCCTCTCACCATCCCCTGTCTTGCTGCACTCCCTCATCGTCTCCATGGCAACCAGCAGACGGTGCATGCATCCTATGGTCCTGTCTGCAAGGGTCTGCTCCCCTTCCTCCTCCCTCCTTCCTGGTCTCATCACTCTTGTTGCTAGGTGATGCAGACAGGATGTGGTGATGGCATCTAGACTGTTGTTGACGTTGGCAACCGCTGAAGACTGGAGATGTTGTCCGTTGGTGGTGGATGATGATCGTGCAGGAGTTGTAGCTGAGGAGTCGCTTCTTGATGAGCAAGTGAATCTGGAAAACGATATGTTATGATACTGATTACCAGTGAGTGATGTCAAAGGGCAATCTAACCTTTGTAATAACTTGTAAATAGCTTTGTAATATATTTAACCATAAGCTTTAATTGAATACAGAAGTTGGCTGAAAACTGAGTAAACTACTCATATTTCTAAGATGAGAAATGAATACTCCCTAGGACCGAACACTTTACCTAACCCTATCCTATATATTTGAAGAAATAAAACCTAGGGCAATTGACGACGAAGCATACTTTTGGGAAACATAATCTTACCATCATTATAAACTAAAACTACAACAAAGATACAACTACAGAGATAAGGGTATCGAAAAATACTCCACTTCAACGTACTAACATAACAAACCTGCACGTGTCAAGTAACTTTTCAAATGGGCTTTTTTTCTATCAGCATGTTTCTATTAGTTATAATGAATTATCCGGTTGAAGAAATAAGCGTATATTGCCAGGGAAGGGCAGTTTCTATCTACGCGCATTCTGATCAAGCCAGAAAAAAGGCCGTGAAAAATTTCTTTGAACTCTGGCTAATTAGGTCACCGCAAAGTATTGTGGGACTGCTAGGTCAACCCGGGATTGTAGTGTCGCGCGCGTCGGGGTAAAATATTGCGATCACATGATCACTCCTACTTCCGGTTTCTCCCCGGTATGTGCACTCAATCGGAACGGGTGTGTTTCTACTTACGTTATCGGGTTAGCTTCCCCTGCATTATCCTTCTAAAAGAAGGATAATTTTGCCGGTGAATGCGTAACAGCTCTCCCCGGCATTATCCGGATAATGCCGGAGAAAGTGTGTTTCTATTTGAAATTTATCTAACTGGCCATTATCCAGATAATGGCTTTAGATAGAAACACGCCGAATGTCATTGTCATCATTTCTATTTAATCCATTTGTTTACTGACAATTTCCGAATGTTTTCAAAAATAATCAAGTATGTAGGTATAATTGGATTCAATAATAAATGAAAGCATGCAGGCTTCAACTGTTCCTCCTATTTTCTATTTTGGGAGTGGTAAGAGTAAGACTGACATGTACATTGCATTCCCTTCCACGTTTTAAATCTATTTCATATTTAGAAGGTTGTCCGAGAAATAAATAACAGTCTAACCTGATTTAGCGACTACCTGTATAAAAAGACCACCTGTCTACAATGACCACATTTTTCATTTTCCTTGAAAATGGTTTCTTATTGAAACATGTACTAAAGGAACCTGTGCATAAAGGCTAACTGCCTACAAAGACCACTTTGTATGTTTCTCTTGAGCAGTCTTTATATACAGGTTTCACTGTAGTGAGGGTGGAAATGTTCTATTAGCTTACTGCCTGTGCGCAATTGGTGAATCAAGTCTGAAATCCTTTTCCCAGCTTCCATTCTTGCTTGTGAATATGGCATCGACTTCACGACTGGTGCAGTTACCCTGACAGATGGAGACAAGTTGAAAATTTAGGCAATCATTTTAAAGGTAAAGACCAGTTATGGTCATGCGATTGCATTGTGAAAGAAACGTTGTGGAATCGATCAGAAAAGGTTGATCATCTAGCATCTAGCATCTGCAAGGTTCTGGAATCATCAAAATGATAAGAAATTTGGCCCATTCTTCGTAAAGTTACAAGCACTATACACAGAAAGATGTATATGGGACTACCCTATATCTCTCACAGACCATGAGAGAAACAAATTTACCAAATATATGAATTAGTAGGCGGTTTCCAGGCAAATTTTTTATCATCATGTATTAGTTAAAACATATTCTTTCACATGATTGGTAATGAGATCTTCTATTTCATTTTTTGAAATTGGGGCGTTTCCAATACTGGTCTTTACCTTTAAAGCACTTCTGATGAACATGGGGACATATTTCTCAACATGATACATGAGAACAGCTAGGATATTGCACTCATCATCATCATCATCATTAAGGAAAATTAAAATTAGAAAATCTTCCCAACATGCATTGAGTTCTTATTTGAATGACTCTTTATCCGAAATAAAATGAGTAAAAAAAGAAGTAAGAAAGTTGTCTTTTTTTCAGAGTTTTAAAGAGTTTGCTTTTAAATTGTTAAATATATAATATTTCAGTAATATCAATCATTATGAATAATGTGTTGAAGTAGAAGAAGATTTTAAAAAATTAAAAAATGAAGCAAAGTCAAAAGAACAGTTTATTAATATTCAAATTCATCAACGGATGTTTGTTCACAGAGCCCATGGAAGTGGTCGATCTAATTCAGACAACACTGATAGCAGATGTTGCTATAGACAATGAAACTGAAATATAATCAGAACATAATTTGAACCATGACATGGGCTAAAGGTTTTTTCCTCGTAGTCTACAGACATTTCCATTCTCTCGGTCTGTCAATTACCTATCTGTAAGTGTAACTTGTTTTCTTCACAAGTTGTTTGAAGGTGTCTGCCATAGTTGGTAACAGTGGTTTGTAGGTAAGGGACTCAAAAGGCAAATAAATTGTATTAGGTAGATAGTAATAGTGTTTTTGTGTGGAAATCCTCTGGTAAGTTCTCAAGGAATAAAGAGAGAGTAAATTTTGTTCAAGAATAGGAATAATTTTTAATACATTACAAGAATAGGAATAAATTTAAATGCATTAAAAGAATATGCATACATTTGAATACATTAGTACACTGGTCTATTGACTAACCTGGAAAGCCTCTCTCATCTGTAGCAGCTTTTCTTCAAACATATCCAGTGACCAGAAGGTCATCAACCCCTTCTTCGTGTCATTGACCCTTATGGTGACCTCTGACCTCTGGCCATGAAGGTTCGATGACTGCTCATCATGTCTGCTGAAGGTCTAAAGATAAAGGGCGAATGAAATCTGTATCATCGCAAACATGTTCAAGTGAAACTATCGACAGCCTGAATAGACAAATCTGGTATCAAAGTTCAAAATGAATTCATATGAAATTTGAGAGTGCCATGTCTATAGAATATTTAAAAAATTGCAGGAATATCCTACATATTGATCTTGTCCTTGTGATTATGAAATACATGTTGCATTTCTAACAGCATAAAATATACTGCACTTCCGGAAATAGAAATGATATGGATTGGCAAGATCCACAGACATGCCACTATCGATACCATACACATTGGTTTTGGTAATTTTCTACCAGATCTTTGTCATTTACGTGTAAGTTCCGATCCTGTCTAATTTATGTATTGATATCACTAATGATCATTTCAAAGGAACAACTACGAACAGTAAACTGTAAAGGAGATAAAAAGATATACATGTAGCACTTAAATGAACGGTAAATATTCAGAGTTTAAAGGTAAAGACCAGTAATGGTCATGCGATTGCATTGTGAAAGAAACGTTGTGGGATCGATTAGAAAAGGTTGATCATCTAGCATCTAGCATCTGCAAGGTTCTTGAATCATCAAAATTATAAGAAATTTGGCCCATTTTTCGTAAAGTTACAAGCATTATACACAGAAACATGTTAATGGGACTACCCTATATCTCTCACAGACCATGAGAGAAACAAATTTTACCAAATAAATGAATTAGTAGGCGGTTTCCCGGCAATTTTTTTATCATCATGTATTAGTCAAAACATATTCTTTCACATGATTGGTAATGAGAGCTTCCATTTCATTTTTTGAAATTGGGGCGTTTCCAATACTGGTCTTTACCTTTAATACTCCTTGCTCATCTTGAATGATACAACAGAATTGAAGCTTATAAAGACTCTCTAGTTACCTATGTCTTCATTCATCATGATTAAGTAATTGAAGATTGGTATGACATTAATAGGGTATGTCATTAATGAAGCTATAAAACGTGTGCCATTAATTAAAGCGCTAGATGATGTTTTTCATTGCTTTTATGTTAAAACTGTTAGCATGTTAGCCCTTTTGGGAAGACAGAAGGAATTCTTACTAAGTGTCTCTTGAGTTTGGTACTGATGTTGTTTGCTTCCTGAAGCCGCATGGACAACTGGAGCAGATCCCTCCTGCCCTGGAGCCCAGACTCCACCCTCCCGGCTCCTTTCCTCTGCTTGCGCTCCCTCTGGGCCGCCTGGAGCGCCTCCACGCTACCCAGGAGCCGCTCCTTCTCCTTCTCAAGCTCCTGCAGGATCCTGGTGTGGTGGGTGGTGCCCTGCTCCAGGGCCTTCCGAGCCTCCCTGGTCTCCAGCTCCAGGCGTCTCCTGTTGGACTCCAGCTCCTGCTTCAACATCTGGGATTGAAAACAGTAACAATATAATAGCTCCCATTTACTTATAGATGGGGTAAATATGCAGGAATACATTCTACACTTGGCAGAGCCATGCTCTCTGTTACTCCCTTACCCCTAACTTTTTTAATCATTTTTTGTTGTTACCATGGCCCAAATTATTCATGCCGTTGATAGTAGTACATTTAATGGGAATGAAAGGTTGTAACTTGCTGCACTATCAGTGTCTGAGCAAGTTAAGTAAAAATTAAAACAAAACAAACAAACAAACAGCAAACAAACAAAAACAATATTGTCCACTTTATTGAATAAAAACCATCAACTTTTCTGACATTTCTGAATAAACCATTGTCAAGTATATTATTTGTATTTCTGACCGTCATACAAGAGCTGACAGACAGCAGAAGTACGCACCTTGTTTTCTTGCTGCAGTTCTTCAACTCTGTTATCCGTTCTCTGTCTGAGATTCTCTTCTTTCTTATGGCCTACCACAGACATATTCCTCTGAATAAAACAAGAATATAAAAGGTCAGTGGAAAACGATACTCAAATTCAATAAAATGTTGATTTCATAAAGCAAATATCACACCAGGGCCCATCTTATAAAGAGTTGAAATTAATCACAACTTATTTGTGATTAATATCAATCGCAACTTTGTACATAAAAGATAGGAAACTGCAAACTTGCGTTTGATGGGAGGACTTGCGTTTGATTTGGATCAATCCCAACTCTTTACAAGAGTTGGGACATCAATTTCATCTTGATTCATTTCTAAAACGGGGAAATCCAATATATGGACAATATGTTACCAAGTATTATTCTTTTGTATCATGAAAATGTGAACAGAAACTGACATAAAAAATATCATTTTGTTGATTGATTTGTCCGGGCCCTGTTTCATAAAACTTGTTATCAATGACTAGTTACAATATCCGTTATAAGCTACTGATATTGTGGCATTTGATTGGCTCAGGGCAAATTTGCCATAGAAATTTAACATTTGTTATTTACAATAATAACTGTTAAGAAACAGGGCCCTGATTGAAGCTCTAGTAGGGCTATCAGCTTTATGTACATGTTCTGTAATATTAACATGACTTATTAACATAATTGCGACTTAAACAATATTTTCCTATTGACTAGGTTAATGATATTTATAAAATGGCTCTAGTATTTTAAGCATCGTGATTGGTCAATACGCGTCACATGACATTGACAAATTTGATGCAAGCACGATTTTGCAAAAATGAGTGCAGAAAAAGCGCAACAAAAAGTTATAATACACGTGACCATGGAGATCCAGTGCGCGCGCGTACGTGTAGTACGCGCTCCCTCGAGTGCATTGCAATTATTGTAGGCTGCGCGTAGCTAATATTGTACGCTCCACCATGATCCCCAGTGCAACGTACGCGTAGCTTAGCTCTAGCTAGCTAGCTAGAGTGGCCAGCGGGGTATTATTAAAAAGAAAATATTTATTTTACTTTTGCCTTGGATTTAGGCCTGTTTTGACTTTTGGATTTTATAATGAAGCCAGGAATTTCAGCTGTCTGATGTAGACTCGTCTCTAGACCCACTGTATGGATTTTATTTTTAATCAAGGCAATGAATCCCATTGACTTTTTGGTAAGCCTGCAAGGTCTTAGTCTAGAACCAACATAACTCTAGATCTAGATCGAACTCTCGTAGACTCTAACTTATTAGATCTAAAGTTTTGTTTGTTGCTATTTGTGTCGCTATTTTATAAAACAAATAACGCACTTGACCCTGTTGTGCGAAACGTAAATGCAGTGTACGCTCGGTTTCTTCAGATGGTTCGCACTGTCAACTCGCCGCAAGCGGCTCGTTCACAGAGCGGCACCAATCTAAAGAAACCTCGCGCGTACTGCATTCACCGCTATTGCACTCTGGGACGTGCGTTATTTGTATAATGTTTATTTTGCAAATGAGTATTATTTTTTTAACTGCTTGTATAAACGTTATAAACGATGTAAATATGTCCATGTTTATGCAGGGCCCCATGGAAGACCACTACTTGTAGGTGAATGGGCTACCCCGTCAAAAGATTAGAAATAAATAAATAAATAAAATATTGCCATCAGCTATACTCTTAGATGTGGTCAGTGATGTATGGGGAAAATAACTTACTCTTTCCTAAATGGGTATTTTACAGGGTCAAAATCAATTGGATTGTGTAACCCTGCAATAGATGCCTTATTGAGTTATTGGGATAGCAGAATGTAAAAAGATTTGCGAAAAAAACTTGGAAAAGGTTAAAATCATATAAATGACATGCAGCAACACACATATAACCATATGGCATTATTAAAATGTTCTATTATTTATCCCAGTTTCCTTGACTATCTGCGGTCAATATAAAGCAGGAATATATGGACTTACCAGTTCATGCTCTAACTCTTTAATCTTCCTTTCATAATTTCTGCTTTGAGTTTCAAGCTCCTTCTGCGCTGCTTTCTGTTCAGGAATATATCAAAAGAACAAAATAGAACATATGAAAAGACCCCAAAATTATTCAAATTTCAAAAATACATAACTCATTCAACTGAGAAAAAAAAGGATGAATGAAAAGTTGGCTGTTTAATATAGAGACAGTGAGAAACAAGAAGAAAGAGGGAAAGACAGACACTGTGACAGAACATTGGATCAAGAGAGAGAGAAAAATGGAAAGCATGAGCACAAGAATATTGGAAGGTGCAAAAAGGTCAAAGGTACATAAATATGTTGTGTATCAGAAAGTTGACCAGTGAACCTTTGAGTGCAGTTCAATATCAGGTCATAAAACAGGTTATTTCACTTGTTACCATGCAAAAAAAATGACACTTTACTCATGATTTTCTCATTTGTTTGTAGTGGAATAATTGAAAGGCTTACCCTTGCTTCTTCGATGCCCTTCAACATTTCTTTCTGTGTCTGAAGTCTTGCCTCTTCCTTCTCTGACTGTAGCCTGAGAACATAAGAATAAAAATCAGGCGATGCATTGGAACCAAATAAAATATATATATTTTAGATGCTCAGCCACTCAATCATCAACACACACCACTCCATGTACTGTCTGTCAGGACACACAAAACTGTGACATAGCCCAGGACCTTGGTTCATTTTGTTTCCATTTCGAGAACTAAACCTTTACATTATCTGAGAGTGCTTTTGATTGAAATTACCAATTATCATAAAACTATCAGTCACTGACCTCGGTCCTGGGTTATCCAAGTTCATTCTTTATTTGAATCTCAAACATTTTTACAATAAAGATGAATTAATTTGTTTAAAGCCGATATACCCTTTAAAATCACAAATTTCATTTACTTACTTTACCAAATCCAGATTGTATTTAGGCCCATCGAATGCAACATAGATTTAGAACCAATTTGTTTTACATGAAAGTCTGGAACAATATTTGTAACCAACTCTGTTGTAGCCATTACGAGAACCAAACTTTTACATTAACTGGAAGTGTTTCTGAGTAAAAATTTCCAATTATTATGAAGCTATTAATCACTGACCACACTACATGTTCTTTTATCAAGTTTCCCTCCAGGAGTAGAAACGTATCTCACCTTGATCCTTGTGCATTTGCCAGCTCATTCCTGGCAAACTCAAAGCCGACCTTGACCTTTGACCTCTGACCTGCGTGACGAACCTCTTTAGGGTCATTGTAACGGAAATAATAGTTGCCAACTACGACCCGGTCTCCCTGAAGGAAAATCAGCCAGCAAGAGAGAGAGAAGAGAAATTTGATTAGAATATAAGATATCACTGATACTCCTTGCCTGAATTCATGAAATTATTTAAATGTATATAGCTTTCATTTATCTACTATTACAAGCAAAATCATAATGTGCCTTTTTAGAAAAATTGTCAATGTTTTAACTAAAAAAGATTAAAGTGGAGGGAGGGGGGGGGGGGGGGAGGCAGCAAAATTTAGCTCACACCTCGGAAATTGCTTATAATATTGACTGCAAGTGTTGGAACTATCAAAGAAAATTCATGACATATAACTAGTACACATATTTGTAAATAACCAGATTAAAAACAGATTACAGTACCTTGTGCGCAAAACATTTATCTCTGCCACAAAACACTCCCCTTCTTCAAAAATCATTGCTTCCATACATGCTAAATTTGTATGAATATATCTCTTTTTCATTTCATTTTCTTTCACTATCTCTTTTAAACAACATCAGAAAATATTTACGTGTGGATATTATCTTAGATAAAAGGCAAGTGGGGAATCATAAAAAGCCAAATGGCTTGTTAAGAATGATTCCCTGTAAAAACCAAACAAAATTAAGCCACATAATTATTTTCATTTAGTTCCTGTAGATTCTGTGTAGATGTTTATGAAAACTTACATGATGAAGTCTTCTTCCTCTGTGTATCCTATCTCCGTTCACAAATGTCTCTGCATCATTCACCGGCCTGACGGTCACATAGGAACCATTGTTGATAATCATGCTATATAAATATCAAATTTGATCACAGAATGGTAAGTATTGAATACACGCACAAACGATGAAACAACAATATTGTAGGAGATATAAAAATATAGGTCATGATGAAAATAATACATGTATTTAGTTAAATTTCCACTCAAAATCTTATATCTTATCTTTTTTGTACATGCTGCTATCAAATTGCCATAATCATACTCATATCAGGCTTCAGGATTTTACACCAAAATTTGACAGGAACTAAAAGTGGATCCTTCCCCTTTTCTATTAAAGATAAACTTGAGTTCTGTTAAAAAAAGAAAATGAATTCTCACAGAATCAAACAAAACTTACACTGAATGTTTGAAATTACAAATAAATGTCATTTGCCCAACAATTTTGGTAGAAAATGTATACTGGCTGAGTGATGAGCATAGAAAGATAAGGAAATCAAGGTAAGTAGGCCCGACACCATTTGTGTAGTCCCATATACATCTTGTTGTGTACAGTTCTTCTTACTTTATTATGATTTTGATGACTCCAGAACCTTGCAGTACACACCAATACTTACATGCTACATGATCAACTTTTTCAGATCCATTCCACACCTTTTCTTTCACAATGCAATCGCATGACCAGAACTCAACTTAATCTTTAATTGTTTTATCTCTCACCAATGATCCTCTTCAACCAGGGCACTGTTGAGATGGATGCCGTTGGGGGCGCTCTGGTTGGTGCGTCCAATATGGGTCTCGCCGTCCTTTAGGACGTAGAGGAGAACCTCTGAAAGCTGAGGATCCTCGTTGAGGTTGACCAGGTTGGGTAAGGTGTTATCCACCTGGAAAGCTGAATCCAACTTCTGATTTCAAAGAGAATAATAATAATAATAATAATTATAATAGCTCACATTTATAATGCGCCTAATACTTTGTTTTTAGGTACAGTATATATTACCCGGTCATCGGATTCAGGCTTACTCGCACTCAATGTATGCACATTCTCCACTCCTTTAGGAGCATTCTGGCCAGTCGCCATTTTACAAGCGCCACTTGCTCATCCAACCACATTAACTTTCGCATCTTACCGGGTACCCAGTTAACACTTGGGTGGAGAGTGGCAAATGTCGATTTTCAGTAATTTTGTTCTGATACTATAAGGTGTATTTTCAATATATTGCTGTATTCAAACAATTTCATATTCTATATGCCTGCAAAATATTATACCATGCAATTACCTCCTGTAGCCTAGGGGTCTAGAAAAAAACCCAACGGATAGAATCATATTTAATTCAGCATGTACGTTAATTGTGCTATAATACATATATGTATGTAAAAAACACCCCAAAGGTTTACAGAATAAAAGATTACAGCTCAATTTATATGTACACGTCTTAGACACTTTCATATTCATGAGCATTCTATCTCACCTCTTTCTGCTGTGATTCTATCTTTTTCCTCTTTGTCTCTTCTTCTCTCACTCTCTCCTTCCATGCTTCCTCCATTTCTGTCATCCTCCTATGTGAATCTGTCAGTCTCTCCTTCAATCCTTCCAGTTCTTCGTTTTTATTTCGCTCCTCATCGCTCTGCCTCCTTCCCCTTGTGGTATAGCCCATGGATTTGAGTTTCTCAATTTCAGTTCTCAACTCTGAAGGCAACAGAAAAGTGATCAACAAATAGGTGTACATGTTCTTCTTCATTATCCAAATTATGGTACACATCACACAATACATCCACTGTTGTAACAGAAAAGCAATAGCCTTATAATCATCATTGATCAAAGTCAGCATTTTCCCTCTTACAAGGAGTAACTGACCTTTGCGCCATGATGACACCTTCCATCCCCCTCCCTTTCTTCATGTCCCAACATCTAAAATTCATGAGATCATAAAGAAAAAAATATCTGTCACATGAATATCAAAACAATCAACAATTTTGATATACATGCGGCGATCTCCTTCTTTGCTACCAAGATTAAAATCTAGCTTTTAAACACTTTCACCGTTAAATGTCACAAAGTGGTAGTCCCAATTCTTGTCTAACCCCACATTCTTTAAATTCTTACCTCTGATAAGCCTTGCATTAGGGTCCTCGTTGACCTTGGCGACGTTGATGATGGAGCGAGCCTGCTTGGCATACCTGAGCGTGCTCAGTGTCTCCTCGCTCTGTGTGCTGGCGGGGCTGACCGTGGCTATCATGGCCGTCTTGGAGTTACCTCCCAAACTCTCTCGTAACAACCTGTGGGCAGAGAAGGCAAAGAGGGGGTGGAACATTCTCGTATAAATTTTTCTCGATTATCAGAAATGTCAAGGTGAGAAATGGGAATAAGAAAATAATCTTTCAGGGAACATTGCAATCTCCCATTCATATGATAATGCAGGTGTCATTTGTAAGACGCACCTTTTGACCCCCGGGGATGGTGCATCATGGTTGCTTCATGTTCCCCAAAATCGCGACGCACAGTACCGTCATGGCCGCAAAATGTCCGTCACAATACTGACCCATATGTGCGTCATAGTAAGTCACTTTACCACGTTGCGTCATTTGGTGTGTCAATGGGACCGTCACTTTCTCCAAGCAGAAGTGTTTCTCAAATGTGCGTCATTGGCTAGTCATTTTCATGAAATGGTGTGTCATATGTTCGACTCAAATGTGCGTCGATGGAATGGAATGGTGTGTCACTTTCTGTGACGGAAGGTGCGTCATGGTATCAAAATGTACGACTCACATCGGTACAATGACGCACCATTCCCGGGGGTCAAGAGGTGCGTCTTACAAATGACAAGTGCATAACTTAAGAAGTTTGTTACTAGACCCCATTAACATTTAAATTTCTGTCACTGTTGCCAACATTTATTAATTTATCTATTTATCTATTCATTCATTAAATTTCTAAATATCTTGACCCTCTTTTTTTAGGGGGGATTTTCACACCCCTCACTCTTGATAAATAAGATTATACCAACGCATTCACCATAAGATGAAAGGCGAAAGGGGGAAGGGGGGCTATTAGTTACCCCATTTCTTTCAGGTTGAACAAGATCATAACATATTAGCCATGTAAATAAACTATAAGAGAGAGAGAGAGAGAGAGAGAGAGAGAGAGAGAGGGGGGGGGGGGGTCTATGACCTGCTTCTTTTCAGGTTAAACAAGAGAATAACTACAATATTACCATGTAAGTTAGTATCCCAGACAGAGAGAGAGAGAGAGAGAGGGAGGGAGAAATAAGACAACACCACCAAACATACCATGTAAGTACACTATCTCTGTAGGGAATGAAGACCTTCTTCTTGGGGTTGAGGGACTTGTCCGAGAGTCCTGAAATGACCTTTCCTAAGGTCATCAGGGAACGGTTGATGTTAGCCCCTTCCTGAAGAGAAAAAAAAGAAGAGAAAAAAACATGGAGACAAAGAACAAGACCAAACCTCGATGGCAGAGCACAACAATATGTTTTCAGTAGCCTGCCCAAGGATTGTATGCCCTCGACATGAAATTATTTGAAGCAAATGATGGGATATTACATAATAACAATATTCAATAAAGCAAGCTTAATAAATACTGTTTCATACTGAAATCAAATACTACTGGATTATATTGAAATCATCTGCAAGAAAATTTGTTCACTCTTAAACCAGAAACATTTACAGCACAAAACTTGCAAATTGCTAACAACAACTGTTGCAAGAAACTTTGCAAGTTCCAAAGATTTGATAATGTCAAGAGTTGTGATGAAATCATTTCATGACATCAAAGTTTCGCAAATCCGGATCTCTTTAAAAATTTCAAGGAACTTCTGGTTTTACAGTAATGTTTTTCTGGTTGCCACAAAATCGCCCATAGAAAATAAGTCATTATAACTGTATATTGGAAGGATAGAAAGTCACAATAAATTCTGTCAAATTTCAATACTAATATAAAGCAGGTTAGAAAAGCAACAAGATAGTGCACTGGTCAAGAAAATATAAGGGGTGAGGTACCTTCAAGCGGTCGCCTGTTGTGTTGGTTGCCGCACAGCGTTCACTTCCTGCCAGGTCAATGATATTGATCTTACTGGTCACACTGTGGATATGCTCCTCACCATCAAATACCTCTTTCTACAGTTTACAATAATTATGATAAGAAACAAGCAGAGAATGATGAAAAAGATGTTATTGTTCTGCCACTGCAGTCCCTGAAGTGCATGCTGACCATTCAAGAAACAACTATGGCAGTAGGCACAATTAACACAGATATTAAGTTCCTTCCCTTATTTAAAAATAAAGTATTTATTTATTTAATTTGTTACAATTATTTATTTAACTATTATTTTTTTGAGGGGGGAGGGGTCTAACTTGATACAATCAATATTCCAATGGATAGATTTCACAATCTAAACGTACAGACTATTACACTTTGTAATTCATTTCAAGTGAAATTGAAAACATTGAATACTCCATGTCTCAATCTGTACATATAGAGAAACTAGATGGACCTTCCACCGCGCGCAGTCGAAAATGATGCCTACGCCATGGAGCAATTTTACAAACCAAAACAGGGGGGTGTTTCATAAAGAGTTCGTAAAGTTACGCATGACTTTACGAACGACTTGTATATGAAGTGCCAGAGAGGATGTCCAAATTTTTTTCTGATATTTCCAATAACCTCAATTAAATTATGGCAAAAAATATACTTTGCATTAAAAATGTTTGTTATAATAAGAATGCTAATCTACATCTGCACAGTTCAACTTAATGAGTAATAATCAAGAATGATTGAGCATCCCATTTGTCTTTTCATATACAAGTTGTTCGTAAAGTCTTGCGTAACTTTACGAACAGCTTTATGAAACACCCCCCTGAAGCAAGCTATTTTTGCAAACACAATGAGTCCTGTGACCTTTGACTTTGGATCTCGTGACCTTAAAATCTAGTCAGTTCATTGGCTCTGCAAGATACATACATGACCCAAGTTTGGCGGGTATCCATCAATTGGTTCTTGAGATAACGCGATCACGAGAACGGGATGTACGGACGGACAATCCGAAAACATAATGCCTCCGGCTACTTTGTAGCGGAGGCATACAAAATCAAATCAATATGATTTTATCTCTATCTCCCTCTTTCCTTGATCGATTGAAAAGCTTTGATTATGAATGCACTTCACAGCCAAATGGCTGAATTATGTACAATTTACAAATAGCAATAATACATACAAATGTGGTTAGAAAAACGGATCAACTTCGATAAGAACAAGATGCTACTTGCACAAAGTATAACAATTGTGAACGATTAATTCACAAGTTTAATGGTCCAATTAATCATACACATAAATATCGAATAACCATAGCAATCAGTGATAAATGAACAAACATATTCACCTTTGTTTTAGTCATCATGATGACAAAGACTGAATGTGAACGGCTAGATTTATCATTCATGCCCGTAGCAGCGGTGGCCCGTTGCTTATTGCCTCGCTCAATATACGAGTGAATATCTGAGTAGGAGTTGGCTTTAAATCTACACAACAGGATTACAAAAACAGTTTGTATATAAGAAGGGAATAAGAAAGTTTGAGGAACGAGAAAATCATTTGATATGAAGATTTAAACTTGTAAAATCTTAAGGCCCGGTCACACAGAGAGGACGCATGCGGGACGCACGGCCGGCGCATGGAAAATTTCCAATTTTGGCCAGTGCGTTGTCGTTCGCTAGGCGTGCGTCATCACTCGTTACTCGTTCGTCGAGCGCGCTGGACCAACGCTGGACCAGCGCTATGCATTCGTCGTCATTCGCTGTGTGCGTCAGGATTTTTTGAGCATGCTCAAAAGTGTGCGCGGAGCTCGACGCATGAATGTACACGCCAAAGGCACGCCAGACGTGCGTTGAGCGCGCTAGACCAGCGCCAGACATACGCGGGGCACACGCCCTGTATACGCACAGCGCGCTAGCTACACGCTGTGCATTTTGTGTCAGCTCGCTAGCTTTTCCAAAATCATGACAAAAGTTAGGCACACGACCTTTTCCGATTTCCAATGCGCTGGCCGTGCGTCGTAGAACGCGGTGCATGCGTGGACCATTCGTCCAGCGCGCTAGCAACACGCTGTGCATTCGTGGAAGTGGTTATCATGTGCGCTCTGGGTACGGTCTGTATGCGTACTGTATGCGCCCTGTATGCGCTCAGCGCGCTAGCAACACGCTATGCATTTGGTGTCAAAAGTTGGGCGCACGACAACGCACTGGCCAAAATTGCAAATTTCCCATGCGCTGGCCGTGCGTTCCCCATGCGTCCTCTCTGTGTGACCGGGCCTTTAGTGACCAAGGATCTGAATAGTCATATGATTAGTAATAAAAAAGCTCAAGGAATTTTCAAGCTTTCTTGAAGAAGAAAAGGATAATCGGCTCAGAATCAGAATCATGAGAGTGATTTTCTAAGGTTTGAAGCCGATTGGGCTTTTATTTTGAGTCGAAGAGTTAGTAATCATATCATTATTTAGAACCTTATCACAAAGATGAAAATTTGTAGAGATTTCCTTCCTATCTAATAAAATTTGATTTCTTTGAAAATCGAATTGCAGGAGTATCATATATTGTGCAGTGGGCTTCAAATAAACTTGAGTGCAATGCTGTAAATATATAAAGTATAAGGTTATAGAATTAATTAGAATTCAGTCACTCCTGATAACACAATACAACTATCTCACATTGGACAACCGAACTATGAACGTTCAGCAAAGTTGGATTTCTATTCTTCTCAAATTTATTAAACAATGTATTAAAACACAGAGTAATATAAAATATATATGACACCAACACAAAGAAACAAAACTCACGTAGACAGTCCTTCCACATATGGTCCCTGGGTTGGATGTTCTCTCACTTTGAGCTGTAAACAAAAACAACAGGGGGGGGGGGTGGAATAGTCAAATGTGTAAGTTAACAAATTATTCAGAAATGTAGCTGTATACTTGTGATAGTATCATTATTGAAGAGGCAAACAATACTGATACTTGGTTAAGATACATTACAAACAGACTTGTAAGATAGCATCATAAATTTTCAAAGAGAAGTATGCATACACAAAAATATTCAAACGATAAATCAGTGAAGTTCATGCTCAGCGGGTAATTTATCTGCCCCCGGCCTGTCTCTCTCTCTCTCTCTCACTTTCTGTGTATCTGTCTCTGTCTCTCTCCCTCTGTCTGTCTGTCTGTCTTTCTGCATAATGTAGGTCTCTCTCTTTCTCTCTCTCTCTCTTTCTGTATGTATTCCTGCAACCCTATCAAATTTCTCCAATCTTCACGCAAAGTGAGCAAATCAACAGGGTAGCCCCATCAGTAGTTAAAGTGACTTGGTAACATTGTTGAAGGTTGATGAAAAAAGTTGCTTAATTTTTGTATAAAATGTTACTTACTATATTCCTTCTACTGTACTAACCCTCTGACATGCAAAAAATCCTGAAAAAATTCCCAAACCACAAAGATATCTATGGTTTTCTCTGAAGGCGTTAATGTACGACATCCTCTAACAGTGATTAACAGTAAATTCTCCCAACCATTTTTGAATTTTCCCAACCGTTTTTGCATGAAAAAAAGACTTAAAACAGGCTATAAAAAATTTGTCAACACTTAAATGTCTGGAATGGAATGTAGAGCCATTTTATTGCTTTGTAATTGTAATGATATAGTTGGGAGAATGAAGGAATCGATCAGATCAGTTTTTCCCAATTTGTACCATGAATAATGGTCCGTTTTCACTCGAATTTTCAGATTATCTTTAATTGTACATCTAGCATTGAAGTCACTACCTTAGCACCACTATCTCTCATCTTAACAATGTTACAAAGTCCCTTTAAGATACTGTTATACTAGGTGGCCCTGTAATCTTCATGCAAACTGAGCTAATCTTTTTTCTCGCAAGGCGGCGGTATACTCACGGTGATCTTCTTCGGTGCGGACTTGTCCCACTTGTCCGTCTTCTCCACGCCAGGAGCGAGGAGGTCGTGGATCTTCTCGTTGTAGATCTCAAAGAAGCTCACCTCCACCTTAAAGGAGACCTTGGTCTCCTGGGGATCCTCCACCCTCCGGTAGAGATCCTTGCAGAACCTGGGGATGATGCCTCTCTCATCGCTGGAGCCCATGATACTGAGGAAGCAAAATATATAGATTGATTGATTGAGAGAGAGTATATAGCTCTCATTTATTTCTTCCAATATGTACAATTAAAAATCAAACAAGTTAACAGTATGTCATGCACTATTTCATGTTTACATCAATATATTTGATAACAGATAAGAGTAATACTACATATGAGCTAGTACTACAAATAAATACAAAAAAATTGAAAGAAAAGAGTGTCCCCCAAAAAAACTCAAGGGCTTGTTAGGAGGGGATAACCATAGCAAGCAACAACAACAAAAAAAAAAAAAATATATATATATATATATATATATAATTTCAATTTTTTTTTTTACAGAAGATCAAAAGGGAATCATCTTCCTCATCCTTGTTTTTATTTTTTAACTTGAATAAATTGATTTTTTTTTTCTTCAAATTAATTTCATTTCAATTTCTGATTTAAATCATAATCCCTTTTCTTGAAAAGGTGAAATATAAAATACTGACCCTAAGAATTTTGCTTTGCTGATATGACACTTGACAGGGCACTTTTTAGGCACTTAGTTAACTTTGGAAAATCTAATAACTGCACAAACGGGTTCAGTACATTGCATAAATGGTCAATAATAAACTTCGCTAGGAGAACAAGCATTGGTTCAACCAAAAAAACCTTTTCCATAACCACAGCAGAAATGTTGAACTACTAAGGAAACCGATTGTATTACATATAGTCTGTTAAAAATTGGTACACTGTCAAATTCTGATGAATCTGTCTCCAACACTTTATCCAACTCACGTGTATGACTTCCCTGACCCTGTCTGGCCATAAGCAAACAGACAGGTATTATATCCCTCAAAGGCACTGCGTAGGAGTGGTTGACCAACGGCTCTGTAGACAGCCTCTTGACCAGAGAAGTCTGAACTGGTCTTGTCCACTGACCAGAAACAATGGTCGTAGCAGAAATGGCTGGGCTGACCATACCGAGATGAGATCTGGACCTCGTTACCGTCCATGCCTATGACACACTTTACGTCATTGTCGGCTTTCTCCCTATTGAGGTAACAGTGTGAGAAAGGGGACACAATACAAATCAATACAAGTCAAACAACTAAATAATTTTTTTTCTGTTTATGACAACTCTTTTAAAAATTTGCTGTAGTATAATGTAAAACTTTTTGATGACGATTTAAAGTTTATCTGTTTTTCGTTTTATTTTATTTTCTACCAAAGCTATCTTAAAGCTATCCAGAGTGAAATCACTCACTGTTCCAGTGCAATATTTACACATATCAATACACTTTCATGCAATAACAAACTTATATCAAATAAATAGTCCTTAGGATTTGAATATTCTTTTAAGACCACTTTTTGTGTTTCCCTTTGGTGGTCACTATAGACAGGTTTGACTGTATAAGCACAAATAGAGTGAAGGAGAAGTAGTGGTAGTGAAGAGACTAGGAGGTACAGGAACCTAGAATTTCCAACAATATGATCATTGAGGTGTTCTGAGATTTTTAACCTGTCATTGAAGGGTCGAACCCTGACCCCAACGGTGACACTGAATCCATTCCCACTAGTGCTGACATCACTGTCGTCGGACTTGGAGCTTGCACTGTTTGAAGCCCGTCTGAACGTGCTTGGGGTCCCTATCTCCACCTTGCTGTAGCATTCCGGTGTGTTTGGAGCTGTGTCAATTGATCTTGGAGGCCTGAAAATAAAAGCATTACCAAGGTTAAATCATATATAGAGCTATTCTTAATTTTTCTTATCAACTGAATGCAGTCAAACCTACTAAAGTAACCATCTGAATCTGGTACAAAACCTAGAATTTTTAAATAATACGATATAAGAGGTAATATAAGAGTTCAGGCTGTCATCGAACGGTCAAACTCTGACCTCAAAGGTATAGACCAGTTCTGGTCATGCGATTGCATTGTGAAAAAAACGTTGTGGAATCAATCAGAAAAGGTTGATCATCTAGCATATATAAGTATTGTTGTGTACTGCAAGGTTCTGGAATCATCAAAATGATAAGAAATTTGGCCCAGTCTTGGTAAAGTTACGATCACGACTGGATAGATAAGATGTAATAATTTACCAAATATATCAATTAATAGGCGCATTCCCGGGAAAATTTGTATCATCACGTATTGGTCAAAACATATTCTTTCACATGATTGGTAATAAGAGCTTCCATTTCAATTTTTGAGAGGGGGGCATTTCCAAAACTGGCCTATACCTATACCTTGTTGATCTTCTGTTCATAAAGATCAAATTATTTATTTCCCTTGAGTTCATGATTTTCATTGAAAACAGTGTTAAGGAAAAATGTCTATGAAGACCACTTGTGTGTCTTCCTTGGGCGATATTTCTATCAAGGTTTCACTGAAACAAGTTTGTATTCCATAACATGATGTACATGTATAGGCCTACTGTACAGGAGTCCTCAACTTTTGCCTGTTGATGTATTCAATATTCTGGCCTTTAGGGAAAGAAAACTTGATTTGAATGACTATTTCTACATATCCTATCCATAACTTTAAGTTTGAAGTTTGAAGTTTTATTTATTCCACATTTTACATAGAAAAACAGTTTATATTCTTTTCTTTTTTATACAGGCGTATATTATTATAAGAATAGATTTCACACAAGAAAAAAAATTATTAAACAAAATTAGAGAATTCAGATCAAATATAATGTACGGAAAATAAGTATGAAATTTCGAAATATGTATATATAACAGGCTGGGTAGAACAATGTAAAATGTGGGGTACCTTGTAGGAGTTTTGAATTGATGGAATGGACTGGAGCTGACATGATGCTGATGTGAGGGACGTCGACCGACCGAAGGGCTTGCACCGGCCTGGTTAGATGGTCTTCTGTTCTCTTTAGTCCTGGTGGGTGTCGTCCACTGTGAAACTTGTCTTTTAGGGGTTGGCAGGTTTTCACTGGATTGGCGCTCGGTCAGTACTCTCTTTGTTGACCGCCCTGGTCCGAACATGATGAACTGACTGTAGTACGATTGATCCTGCAATACACAAATTAAAGCGGACAGGATCTATTGTAAAAAATCTAAGGATAAAAAAAAAAACATGTACAAAATGTACATTTTCATGGGCATGAAACAGATCATATGAACTGAGATTTGCGTCAAACCCCCTTTTTGCTATGATTTTTTCGCCTAAGTATTTCATTTAAGTTTAAGCTTCACTTAACTATTTTTAAAGTTTGAACAATTCTCATTTTCGTCGTATTTAAGGTACAAACTGGAAATTTATTCTGAGATGTTCGTTGATTTTTCTATTTTATGTGTTTGCAATGCCATGTGTGCGTCAGTTATTTGTGAAGTGTATCACCTGTTTAAAGCAGGACTTTGTCAAAATCATTGTGGTGTGACGTAATATTATGTATTGTATTGAACTTGCCACTGAACTTAAATTGCGCTAAGGTGTGCTTAACTTAAGTAAAGTAGACTAGTTCCTCTTGCACTTAAATTTGAAGTTAATGAGAGCGTGTAAACTTATTATACAGCGCTCAATGCGCAAAGTTCTTTGTGACTCGTTTATGCAGACGATCCTCATTCTCGGACCAGTGTCCTAACTGTAATCGACTGTTGACAGTTTTCGGCCGGTCCGTTGGATGCATGTAAAATCCCTTTAAAATACATTGCATAGATCTAATAGCATATCACATATCCCACACATACTATAACATGCCAGAGTCACTGAAGAACCACATTTGCAATGAAAAATATAACCTTAAATATCACATTTTAGCGATGTAATCGGCGGTCCCGCTTCCCGAATCTGAAAGATCGAGTATCTTACGCATGTCTGTAAGGAATATGGGTACCATTAAATAAGCTTTATTTCAAGCATTTTTCAGATTTAGAGCCTGATTTTGTGTGAGTCGCAAGCTCAAAAGTATCTCATCGCATGGATTAAATCAATGCAGCCAGACACCACAGCGCACACACAATATCTCTGTCTAATTCAGAATCATAATCCAATTTTCGATCACCGCAGAGATAGTTTTCGGCATAGCGAGCTCCGGTGTAGGATACCTGCTCCGCCCGCTAGTGCTATAGATCAGCGGGGAAACGCACGGCGCATGCACGCACTTCCTATTGAATTTGTACATGCGACCGAAAACTGTCTCGCGCTCGCTATGCCGATAACTGTCTCCGAAACAGTGAAAATTGAAGGCGCAGGCAATTGAAAGCCAACTAAGATTCGGTGATATCAATCATAGGTCTAGAGTAAAGGAGCCCGTTTTCGGCCACTTAAGACAAAATCCTTTTTTTAGGACCCTTTACTTCCTATTTATTATCATTTTTTGTTCAAATCATGAAGCAAATATTATTATTATTTAAACAAAAAAAGAATCCCAGAAAAAAATCACGAATTGCCATGACAATATTCATTTCAATTTTCACTGTTTTGGAGCCAGTTATCGGCCGAGCGTTTCAGTTTACGGCCGCATGTACAAAGTCAATAGGAAGCGCTCGCGCATGCCGTGCGTTTCCGCGCTGATGTACAGCAGGTATCCCACGCAGGAGCTCCCGAGTGCTCGCCTGGCCGAAGACAGGCACAGCGGTGATCGGAAGTTGGAATCTGAATTAGACAGAGATATCGTGTGTGTGTTGCGGTGTGCAGCTGCATTGATTTAATACATGCGATGAGATACTTTTGAGCTTGCGACTAGCACAAAATCGGGCTCTAAATCTGAAAAATACTTGAAATAAAGCTCATTTTATGGTACCCATATTTCTTACACTGTAAGTTACAGACACGCGTAAAATACTCGATTTTTCAGATTCGGGTAGCGGGACCACCGATTACATCGCTAAAATGTGATATTTTAGGATATATTTTTCATTGCAAATGTGGTTCTTCAGTGACACTGGCATGGTATGGTATGTGTGGGATATGTGTTATGCTATTATGCGATGTATTTTAGAGTGATTTTACCTTGCATCCAACCAATCGGCCGAAAACTGGAGCTGGCCGATTACCGGCTCCTTTACTCTAGACTATTTCAATTTGCATATCATCACTAACTGTGACTAAGTTCTTAAGCCTGTTCTGTTAGACAGTTATTGTCATGGAAGAATCCTGGATCGATGAACAGGCTTCGACCTACAACATCGTGTATTAAAGTAAAGAAAGTAAAGAAATATACTAGCCTACACGCGTATAAGTTCATGGGACTGAGCTGACAATTATTTGCATTTCACATTTCATTTGGCGCATTTTTAGTTTGGGTACAATGAACAAACTATTATTATTTATTCTTCAGTCTTGATATATACCAACACAATACACAGATACTTACCTAAACCACGCTTGGTTTGAAGATTATACTCAGTAATCGTCGGAATTTTCGCACCAATTACCACATCACAGGAAACACAATAATAACTTTTCGAAACGCGATCAAAAATAGAAACAGCTGATTGGTCAACAAAATTTTGTTTCTCGAGCACGCCATCTACGTCATATGATTGCACATTCAATGAGACAGCATCAATCATGGCAGCTCCACTTCTTGTTGAACCACCAACCGGTGGATTTGTCTTCGAAAATGTCAAAAGGTAAGCTAATTTGTCAAGATTATTCGAAATGTTTAGTTTTATATACCTTTTAGAAATAATTATAATAATGTTATAACTTTGTTTTATTCCAGATTTTGAAGATATCTACGATTGTTTCCATGTATGTTGATTCTATGTAATTAAATAGTTCAGTCCCACAAATTGATGTGTGTGTATAATTTTGATGTAAAGGTTACCTTTACCTTTACCATTACCGCAAATACTGGAAGAATGCTGAGACAGCAGTCGAGCTTCCAGGTCTATCTTCTTGTACTCATAATTCTCATTATATGCAAGGGAGGCAGAGGGGCAAGAGGTTGCATCTTGACTGGACAATGTACCGTCCATGTACAATGTCCCAGGAGCAAAGAAATTGAAAAAATCAGTTCGAGTATTGAGAGATATGACACTGTTCCTTCCAGCAACGATCAAGCCTGGTTTTTCTTCCTCTCTCTTCTTCTTCTTCCATTGAGTACATTCCTCTTTGTAGAGTATAGTCGTACATGTTGTTTATTCTTCTTATTATTCTTCTCTTCTTCCTTTTCTTTTTCGTCTTCTCTTTTCTTCTTCGTCTTCTCTCTTCTTTCTTTCTTCTTTTTCTTACTTCTTCAGTAGACCTATAGAATCTGCGCGCTGGTCCGAGAATGAGGATCGTCTGCATAAATGATATCCTCTTAAATGCTGACTAACTGCGTTCTATGAAATAAGGATCGTCTTCATTTTCGAGGACATTTTTTTTTTATCGGCGCTCTACGGGTTTTGGGTTCCCGAACCATGCGCTGCCAATGCGAAAAACGGATTCCGCGTATGAAAATATCCCCAGTTTAATGTCTACTTTTATGAGTTGTCCGTCTTCCTGAGGATTTATTGCTCATAATGTGAAAGTCTCTGAACAAAGTCAATGTAAAATGCATCAAGAAAATCATTGCAAAATCTGTTTTTCACCAACACATGGATCGGAAATATGAAAAGTCTGAGAAAATGCAGAGGATCCTTAAGTTTGTGTACACATCTGTCCGCGTTTACAAAGACGATCCTCGTTTTTAAGGACAATCCTTATTCTCAGACCAGCGCCCCAACTGTTCTTCTTCTTCATCATCGTCATCCTTCTTCATCATCATCCTTGTCTTCTTCTTTTCCTCTCACGGCATCATACGGTGTCAAAGAGCAGCCATTTGAAACACTTCCAAGCCTAAATTGTACCCATGATGTTCCCCTTTTTAATATCTGTACTAAGTTCATGAGAGAAAATGTGAAATGTATTTTTATTTAATTTTTGTTTTAATGTAGAAATGCAATGCTGGCGAATAAAGGGATGAAGACTCCGACAGCTGTGAAAACAGGCACAACCATTGCTGGCCTTATCTACAAGGTATGAAGATAGGCCTAGATCTATACAAAATTAAATAAATATTTTAATAACACCCCCCCCCCCCCCCCCCCCCAAAAAAATAAAAATAAAATAAAATAAAATAAAAAATAAATAAATAAATAAATAAATAAATAAATAAATAAATAATAATAATAATTTCAGAGATCCATCCTGAATGAAAAAGAGGATTCAACCATCTACATTTTTCCTAAAAAATTCAAATTGTGTCTGATAATTAACTTTGCATATGATTTGACTGTCTTGATCACATGTTGTTTTGTACTGCTTTTTAGACTTTAGTTTGGCTGCAAAATATTGTTGCCATCCATTAAGACCACCATGATACGGTTTGCCTTGATTTTGTGTCTGAGATCCCTGTTCGTTTTTTTTTAATAATGAAGTACATGGATTGAAATATGAATAATTACCTAATTCTGCACAGACACACACACACAAAAGCTGATATAAGCAACTGAGCCCAAGTATTGTTGGGTTTATATCCATGAGAAATACACAACTAAATATTAATAATGGTCTGTTTCATTAAAGTATAAGTACAAGTAGGCCTATATAAGATTGAAAAAATTGAAATTGAAATTTCTTATTATTTTGTGTGAATCATTAGTTACTATTTTGTCATTCTTCCTTTTAGTCTTCCTATCTCAGATTGTTCAATCTCCAACATTTAATGATCTTTTTTCTTCATTTAGGATGGAGTCATCCTTGGTGCCGACACAAGAGCAACAGAGGGCACAATTGTTGCTGATAAAAATTGCACCAAGATCCATTTCATAGCTCCAAATATTTAGTAAGTCATCAGGCCCAGCCAACAATTCTCACTTTATTCACTTTGATATAACAGGTGCCATGTTTTGTGTAAAATGTGAACATATTTTGTCTAAATTCATTTCAGTGCTGTAGACATTTTATCCTGATAAACAATATCTTATTGTAAAAAGTTGTATTTTTTGGTAATCAAACTATTGCTGTACATCCTTCGTTTCCCCCATATGATTTGAAATATTGTATAAGATGTAGGTTTTAAAATGTGCTTCTGGAGAGTACTTCAGGGATTTGTTGTTTGAATGGTGTTCATCTGTAATATCTCAGTAATTTGTTATCCTCAAAATTTAGGAAAGATAAAGGGGAAATGGCTAGAATAGAGGAGTGAAGGTCCAGGGATGGAATAGTTTAGAACAGCTCCAGACCAACATGTTTGGGACAGCATAATTGTCAAAGTCGATTGATACAGCACCTAGAGGGACACTGTTACGAGGGGTCCAAACTAACTTTTTGCACAGAGCTCTAGATTGGAGATTCTGATTAAAAGTTTCTTAGTCTGTGTGCATCAGGATCCTGTTAAAAGTTTGGGGAAGTAGATGCATTTTGAACTTGACATCAGCATTATATAATTGTTATATTGTTTTAATTTTAATTGAGTGATTTAAAGATTTTGATTTTACCCCCGTCTCTCTCTTTTTCACTCCCCCCCCCCCCCCCCTCTCTCTCTCTTTTTCACTCTCCCCCTCTCTCTCTCTCTCTCTCTCTCTCACTCTCCCCCTTTCTCTTTCTCACTCTCCCCCCTCTCTCTCACTCTCCCCCTCTCTCTCTCTTTTTCGACCCCTTTCTCTCTCTCTTGTTCACCCCCCCCCCCCTCTATCTCCCTCCTTCTGTCTCCCCCTCTCCCCCCCCCTCTCTCTCTCTCTCTCTCTTTCACCCACCATCTCTCTCTCTCTCTCTCTCTCTCTCTCTCTCTCTCTCCTTGTATTTCAATAGTTGTTGTGGTGCTGGTACTGCAGCAGATACTGAGATGACAACGCAGATGATCTCGTCTAACCTTGAGCTTCACCGCCTATCCACAGGACGGGAAGGACGTGTGGTCACGGCAAACCGCATGCTCAAACAATTCTTGTTCAGGTAAAGGGATAACCTAATTTCTGTTACAAGTGACCCCAACCCCGCCTTTCACCTCTAAATTAATGTTTGTCAACTCAACTTGGCACTTGTGGTCAATGCACGCCTTTTACTATCCTGTCCATGGTCTAGCATAGATTATTAATGAGATAGTGAGGGATTAGAGAAGGCTTGTTTTTCTTCTTACGTATCAAGTGAACACATTTTGTAGTGACTGAAAAAACTTGTTCACCTTTAATAGTGACTATACTAGTAAAATAACACACTTGACCAAACTTATGCTGACTACTTATTACTTACTGTAATAATATGTTTCATATAATGCTGGTCGGCAAAAGAGTAATTACAAGAAGGTACCATTGACACATATAATATTTAAGTGCATTGTAATGCATTGGTAAAGCTTGATGAAAACAGATGTATTTTCCTGCTGTCTTATGAACCTCCAGGTACCAAGGACATATAGGAGCAGCCCTGGTGCTGGGAGGCGTGGATTCTGCAGGTCCCCATCTCTACAGTATCTACCCCCACGGCTCCACCAACAAGCTGCCCTTCTGCACCATGGGGTCGGGTTCATTGGCTGCGATGTCCGTCTTTGAGGATAGATTCAGACCAGATATGGAGGTAAGTACGGAGAGCCAGTAACAATGATGAAAATAATATTAGCTACATTTATATTGCATGCATGCCCATCCCTAAGGATGCTTAATGCGCCCACGATGTACTAATATTACCCTGGTTTTAGCTTCGCTGCTCTAGGATAAAGGTATATACCAGTTTTGGAAACGCCCCCCCCCCCCTCTCAAAAAATGAAATGGTAGCTCTTATTACCAATCATGTGAAAGAATATGTTTTGACTAATATATGACGATACAAATTTTGCCGGGAAACCGCCTACTAATTGATAGAAATCGCGAATGCACTTAAATATTGAATATTTGGGCATATATTTCTGCTTTTTAGTGAATTTAGGTTAGATGTATTGCCATCTAAACCTCTGAAGGCAATATTTAAACAATATTAAATGGATATTTTGCAACCAAAACCCTTGAACCGCAATTTTATCACTACCGGTCTTTACCTTTAAGGTGCTGAAAGGGATAACTTTTTACCAGAAAACCGTTTTTTACGTCTAGCTGCACAGATATTCTAAATCCAGCCACAATAGCAATGGCATCCTGAATGAGTAGTAGTGACCCCTGTTTGCTTTATGTTTACAGGAAGAGGAAGCCAAACAGCTTGTTCGTGATGGTATAGCTGCAGGTATCTTCAACGACCTGGGGTCAGGCACCAACATTGACCTCTGTGTTATCAAGAAGGGCAAGGTGGACTTCCTGCGACCTTACGATGTGGCTAACAAGAAGGGGGTCAGGTAGGTCACATTTCCAATTGATTCCCTCGTAGCTGTGCGATGAAATATACACATATATTGCCTCATCTATCGGTGCAGTGGGAAACATCTCCTAATGTATTGCTTCTTCCAGGTAATCCCCCCATTTCCCATTGACAAAATTGATAACGACCACGACGAATGTAGACTTATTTTTTGTGTCGTCTAACATCCATAACCTTTGGGAGGTCCCTGTAATGCGCCGTAAAACAAAGAGCGTTCAACAATATAATAATAATAATATTATTGGATATTTATATAGCGCACATATTCACCCTGCAAGGTGCTTAAAGCGCTCCAATATTACCCCAGCTCTGCTAGGCTACCAATTTCGGTGCTCACAGCATTCAAGGAATTCCTTGCTACCGGTCCCCATTTACTTCACCTGGGTGGAGTGTGGCAAATGTAGATCAATGTCTTGCCAAAGGACATTAGTGCCGCAGCGGGATTCGAACCGCGGACCATATGACCTTGTATCCACTCGCCCACGACACCTCTACAATGGATACATGCAGTAACAATTAATGTCATGATTACAACATTCATCGATGAAAGTTAAGCCATGGTATTCTTTTCATTCTTTTTCTTTGAATGTCAAATCAGGGACACATCCAAATGACCAAGTTTTATTTCTGTTACTTTTCAGACAAGGGGATTACACCTACAAGAGAGGCACTACAGGAGTCTTGAAGAAGACCGTCACCCCCCTCAAGCTGGATGTTACCGAGACCAGGGTGGAATCCATGGATACTTCATGATTGAGTTCTTTTTTGAAGCAATAGGTGTGTTCACACTGTTAGAAAGTTTTGGAAATTTGATTCTTGGATCATTTTATTCCTGTAGTTTTTGCCAGTTCAACAGCAAATTTTTATGACAATTTACTAAGTAAACTGCTGAAGTTTAATTCCATTGAAAAGGGTGAAATTTGATTCCCCTTGTGCCAGTCTGATTGCCTAATTTACAGAAGACATACTCACTAAACTCTCCATGACTATTTCCTCTGAAACGCAAGGAAAATTGCGTGTAGGATGTTGATTCAAATGTGAATGCAAACTTTCAGAAATTTGTCACCTGATTGTGACCACTTCTAGTTGGGTACGGCCATAACTAATCAATATGCATGGTTCATGTATATTTGGCATGGGCGGTAGGGATAGAAAAACCCTTAATTTTTTGTAATGGGATATTTATTCTGCGACATTAAATGTGAATGCACTTCAGCAGAGTTTAGAAACTACAAGAATTTACAAACAATCAAATTTCCTGGATTATCTACAGTGTGACTGCACCTTATCTGTATATTCTTCATTGTTGTAAGTTAGTGTTTTTTTCATGATGGTAGACATGCCGTAAACTGTTAAATATGCATACCACAGGCTATAGGAAGAGATCTGTGTGTTGGTAACAAATCTGAGGGAATAAGATTCCCTAATTTAAAAAGCAAAGTCCACCAATTCACCAAGTTGATTTGATATACATGTATATGCAGAGAGAAAGAGATGGTTAAAAGATAATGTATGATTAAACAAATCTGATGACAAATGAAAAGTTTTTGAAGATCCCCATACTAATCAGCAATTACTGTTCCTTTTTTATAGCAACTATCCATACGTTTGGTAAGAACATTTTGAATGTCTTAGTTCTGTATTTTTGCCGAAGGAGTATATTTGCTGAATACAAGATAACCGACATGAATGTTTTTATTGAAATGTTGTGGCATAGGTTTGGAGAAAAAAAACTCTTCATCTAAGCACAATGGAAACTGAATATTGTTTAGAGAGCAGCTCGGAAAGGAAATCACTTTAATTGGTTTGTGATTTTCAAATCTCAATAATTTGATATCTGTTGTATTTTTTTTCAGTCACATTTCACTTCACCACTTCTCTCATTCTCTGATTGTAAATATCATGGAGCAACTTGCATTTCACCTAAAACAGGAATAGCTGTATAGTCATGATGATATCAATATCTGGATGATGTACAAAAAAGGATCAATAAGCTACCATTTTGTAAGAATTGTTTGCTCAATGAACCTTGTGCGTCTAACTGTCAGTGAGTGAAGGGCCCCGTTTCATAAAACTTGTTATCAATAACACATGCTAAATTTCATTGACAAATTTACCTTCAGCCAATCAAATGTCAGGATTTCAGTAGCTTATAATAATTATTATAACTCATTATTGATAACAAGTTTTTAATGAAACAGGACCGAGGGATCTTATGTATGCCCAAATTGCCCAACATTCAAGGGAATTTATCTTCAAGCAGAAAGCTACACTTATCTTATCATTTCATATGTGAAAGATATGTCAATGCTTATTTAGTCCAAAATAGTAACAAAAAATAATGTACATGTATGTGTTTTGTTATTTATATGTTACGTTGAGTTATAAGCATTCCTATTCAGTCGATAATATTTTAATGAACTGATAGATGTTTTGGAATAGATTTTTTCCCATAAGATAAGAGATATATAAATTTTATCAATACAGTCGCACTCCTTCATTTCTCCATAATTGAATTGGCACAAAACTGAACACAACCATGTGTCGACCAAGAAAGTGTTAGGGTGAAAAATGATCAATTTGTCCTAGATTTATTATTAAAATTTGTGACTGTGTGACTCTGTGTAAATCATTTGTAATGGTAATCCCTCTACGACATCACATCGTCCTACTAATGTCCTTTGGCAAGACAGTTATCAACATTTGCCACTCTCCACCCAGGTGTTGATATTTCACATCTTTTTCTAGATATCTCACACGTGTATTCCTGGAAGTTTAATGAATAAAATTCATGTCAAATTAAATGAAGACCGTTACTCTTTTGTTTTATGTGTACCTCATTTCATGTGCCGTGTCAAATGCATTTAGTTATTTTTTCACTCACCAAATAGTATTATGTACGTGTTATCGGAATCTGATATACTGATGTCGCTATGGCTTTCTTTCCCCCAAGTTCTCAGAAACGTGAATGTATGTGCATGAAACTTTTGTAAGTGGTTATGATAAGTGGAAGTTTTATGCCGTGAAATAAATGAATTTATAACACTAGATTCTTTGTATTTTGCCATGTCGCAAAACATTTTGTTTTACAGTACATTGGATACATCATTTATTTTTCTTCCATCCACCCCTCCAGTTCAAAAACCTTCAATGGATATTTTATTTCTCACAGTAATACTTATTTGATTTGAATTGTTCATTTTCATGTTCATTAATTCCATATACATCAACATACCGGTAATTATTTAAATTTACAATCTTATTACTTATGATGTATGAAAATGACATGGAATATACAGAAAATTGGTCATAAAGCTTGAAGTGACATCCTTTCGATATGATGCGATGCATAAAAATGAGGTTAGGAAGAAATACAGATGAAAAAGAGCATGGGAAGAGAAGGGACAGAGGAGCAGGGTGGAAGAGAAAGTTACGTTTATGATAGTATCGGAAGGAATAGATATATCAAGTCTTTTGGTAGCTACTATTTATGGCAATAGGGACATTCTATTTTTCAATTATGACCAAAAATTTTTATTGACAGTAGAAGTTATCAATAATTATGAAAGAGATTGGTAATTAAAGAAGGCAATATTTCCTCCGTGTTAGGGAATAGCTATAGGGCTTTGTGATGACCGATTTTCATTTCAAATGCCGGATACTAATATGAAGTTAAAGGTAAAGACCAGTTATGGTCATGCGATTGCATTGTGAAAGAAACGTTGTGGAATCGATCAGAAAAGGCATCTAGCATCTGCAAGGTTCTGGAATCTTCAAAATGATAAGAAATTTGGCCCATTCTTCGTAAAGTTACAAGCACTATACACAGAAAGATGTATATGGGACTACCTTATATCTCTCACAGACCATGAGAGAAACAAATTTACCAAATATATGAATTAGTAGGCGGTTTCCCGGCAAATATTTTATCATCATGTATTAGTCAAAACATATTCTTTCACATGATTGGTAATGAGAGCTTCCATTTCATTTTTTGAAATTGGGGCGTTTCCAATACTGGTCTTTACCTTTAACAAGAGTAGGGTTGGTTAGATGAATCCATTTTTGGAGGTCAAAATCAGAGATCCTAGTTTTAAATATATAGGATCTCTGTGGTAAAAATGTATACCGCCATCTACTGCGAAGAATGTACATCATTCCAAACTAATAGTTCTACGAAAGAGTTTAGCGAAACTCGTCTCTGACACCAACTATTAAGATAGAGTCAACTACTAAATGCCCAGAGGAAAGGGAGAAAAGGAAAAAGACAAAATGAAAACGTAAAAAGATGGAACCAGAGGAAATAGAATGAAAAGGGGAAAAAATACAAAGAAAAGGGAGAGTGGGGGGGGGGGGGGGGGGGGGGGGGGGGGGTGGGGGGGGGGGGGGGAGGGAGGGTGTGGATGCATATGCAGCGTTTATTTATAGATTTTTTTATCTTTGGAAACGAAGGGGAAAAGTAGATATAACACACCTTAACTGCTGGGAGGCAACCGGGAGTACTGTGCTCCATGCAGCGCATTATACCACTTTCGTAATGTAAACATATACTTTATTAAAGGGAAAGTCCACCCTGATATTAAGTTGGTCGTAATAGAAGCAAAAAAATGAGAGGAACAGGTCAGTGAAAGTTTTAGGGAAAACGGATAAATATATAAGTTAATGATATTTATGGTGGGATCAATCAAACACAAATTGACAACACTGTGACGTATCTTGCGAGGTCTCCTCCCATTTCCTCTGTAGTTAAAAGAATACAAAAATGTATATATATATATATTCCCCAAGAAATTATTCAGTAATGCATGCACCCTAAATATAATTTTTGCAGATATTTTTTGTATACAACCCATTTATGAAAGAAATCTATTACGTCATCAATAACTCAGAAATTGAAAGTTTATGACATTTGTTGTACATAGCAAACTGGAGAGGACCCTGCTGGATACGTCGTAGTATTGCCGATTTGTGTTTTACTGAAGATACCTTTAAAAAATCATTACTTCCCTATTTTAATCGGGTTTTAAAGGCCAAAAAAAAAAAAAAAAAACGTGTTTCTCGTTTGGACTTAAAAAAAGAGGAGGCAGGGCATTATTATTGACTATTTTGCTTCTTTTTTTTTTGCATTTTTTCCCAAGATGGCTTCCATGCTAATTATAGCGGGCCAAGCCTATCTATTCACAGATAATGTGCTATGTTAGTATACTGATGCAATGTATGACCAAAAGAAAAATGATTTGTATCACTTTAAAAGATTTTTAAACAAATTGAATAACACAGGCTTTTTTTTTGGTGTGTGTGTGTCGCTTTTTTTCTTCTGAATAGTAAATAGTAAAAACTAAAAAAAAATGGAGACGGCGGCCAAAAAGGAGGCGGGCGGGGACGAGAAACATTTCATTTTTGTTATTTGGCCTAAGACTTCTGGTACAAATAATTGTATTTCAAGACTTGAGAAATAAATTAATGCATTACCTGTTGTCCTGTTATTATATGGAAAGGCACGAGGTTTGTTTGTCCAACCTAGCAACAACTAGTACATGCAGTTTGCCTTCTGACTATTAACTGAGATACAATGATATATATAACAGGTGATCGAATATAATTATATATATATATATATATATATATATATATATATATATATATATATATATATATAATATATATATAGGTAAAGGCCTAGGCAGAAAATTCACATACATCATTTTGAAAATGGTATTTTCTTAGACGAAGCACCTCACCCCCCCCCCCCCCCAATCTATCTTCAGAAACCCGGATCAGACGCTCACCCTATTTTCAGGTACAATGATTTTGCGTTTTCACAATACGCAGGTGAAGCCTCGATCGTGGAGGCTTAGTCTGAACGTTTCAAAGGGCTTGTGAACAAAGGCTATTCATGAAGCAACCCCGTCATTTTAGAAATTATTCTTCTAAAATATGCTGAGTGTATTGTGACATCAATATTTGTAAAGATTTGCATTTTGATGTCATTTGCTTACCGCAAATTTCTCTATGATTAGGGTGTCTAAAAAAAAGAAGGAAACACAAGTTTTCATGCAACTTGATCAATAACTCAAATACAGGTTTGGTTAAAATGACTATATATAATAGACAATTTTCGTAAAGTAACAACATTTAATGTACAAATGCCTTGTTACAAATGATTTCATGCACCCGTCACGAAAAATTGTATTTCAATAGTCGGAATGCGATTTGTATTGATATCGTGTTGAACATTAGTTATGAGTGTATGGCAAGCAATCATGTTTATCCTACCCATATTAATGTGTGCAATTCGCATTCAGGCTGACTAGTATTGAAATAAAATTATTCATAGCAGGTGAATGGAATGATTTGTAGCGTGGTACTTAACAAAGATGTATGTATTAAATTTGATTACATTGCGAAAATGTTCAATTGAACAGCCTTTTATCAAACATTCTTATTAGACCAAAAACATGATCAACAAAATTAACCTCGAATGATGGTTGATTATGGTCTTTAGAAAACAGGAAACGACTAGGAATAATTGTATTTCCCAAATTTTCAAAATCTCATGAGCATAGAAACCCCATTTTCTCTCTAATGTGACACCATTATCAAAATAGAATTATTGAGCGTTATGTAATTGGGAACTGTGTCCTAATTTCTTAATGTGAAGTGTAGCCTACATACATAACTAGTACATTTCTTGCTTTAAAGAATTAATGTTCCATACCAATAATAAATTACCTGCGTAATTATTCGTGGACGTGGTCTTTCCCTCATGATATTATAACAAAAGACCCAAAAAATTGTGAAATGCATCTTTTAAACAACATAATTCCGAACCATATTTTATTAAGATCGTAGCATATTCTGCCTATGCATCCCGAACAGCGCCAATGAATAAGAGAAATTCTATTTTTCATTGAAATGTACATGCTGTATGCTGCCTAATGTACAATATGGACATGGAGTATTCCTAAAAAAAAGTCGATTCTTTATATTGATTCTTTCATGCACGATATAGCTACAGTTTATAAGACCATATTGCAGTAAAACTGTACCTATTACTTGTGAGGAAATACAGTTATGAAGATCGTAGTTTTACCATTTTATACGAGAAAGAGAGAGATGTGTAAACATGATGAGAGAGAGGGAGAGAGAGAGAGAGAGAGTGAGAGAGGGGGGAAGAGGGCGGAGGGAGAGAGAGAGAGGGAAAGAGAGAGAGAGAGAAAGAGAGAGAGAGAGCGCGCGAGAGAGGGGAAGAGGGAGAGAGAGAGAGAGAGAGAGAGATAGAGAGAGGGAGAGAGAGAGAGAGAGAGAGGGGGAACTTCTACTTCTACTTCTATGGTGATACTCATTACTCACTCATGCCTGATTCAGCATCTAGATGAGGGTAACGCATATAGAGTTGTTATACAGCTCTTTGCGGTACAGTTCCTGAAAAGGGAACTACATTGTTTCAAAAGCCACCTTGAACTGCTCCAAAGAAATACAGTTCAACGATGATTTGAGGTAGCTCGTCCCTAACAAAGAAATGGATGAAATCAATAATACAAAATAGATACTGAGTATGAATCAGGGAACACACTGAAAGTTTCGTCTCCTACATGCTGCCATTTGGACAAAACCGTCCAAATGAGAGGTAGAGAGAGAGAGAGAGAGAGAGAGAGAGAGGGGAGGATGGGCGGGGCATGGGGGAGTGGTGTAGCGGCCCAGCGGGGTGAAGGTTACCTCCACTGACTACTAGTAGTTGCAAGTTGCAGGTCGATACGAGCTCGTTGTGTTACATGTAGCGTGTATTATAAGGAGTTCGAAGTTAGAAACTTGGCCATATACGTAGCCAGCACTACAGGCAAAAGGAGTAAGTCTACCTTACATTCATTTCTTACAGTTACAGAGTTCTTTTCTGCAAAATAATACTATTTTGAGATATGGTTGAAGTGAGATGATGAGACGAGGTATGGGTCTTTTAGCTTTTGCCAGAGAAAGTACATATTATAGTAGGTTGTCGTTGCTTGTTGTATATACTCTCTCGCTTCCACGTTCTTCCGTTCGCGTTCTGCCGACTATTACTCTGCCTCCGCCTTCATGATCCTGAGGTTTCTTGCACTCTATAAGGTTTATTGCACTGTTTTGTTTGCTAATTAAATCATTATATACTTGTGCGAATCATTACAATTTTAAATAATCATAAGAATATGATGAAATGTGGTTCAACTTGTAAACAATACAGTATTAATGTAATGTCTATCCTTTGCTGCTAATAATGTTCGTGTAAGGAGTATATAAAGCAACGGTAGGTATATCAACGTATACTCGCGCTATATATCCCATATACATTTTCATTTGCTGCATTGTGTGAAATCGTACGTTGCATATGGGCCGGGTCGGGAGTTCATTTCCTCATATATCAAAGGAATTCATTTTGGACTTTGTTCAGGCAGGGAGAAAATGGGCCTTTGAAATGCATGACGACGTCAATTTACAGAAGCAGTGAGTAAATATTGCGTCCCGCGCAGAACGCAACAAAATTCCCAGGCTGGTTCCCGGGCTTTATCTTTTCAGGCTGAAGGAGAATCATTATCGCATCGTATATTAATTGTTATGATAATATTATATGATTTCAGTGATGTACACATCCATGCAATCATTATTGTAACAGTAACGATCCATCTGTTACACTAAGTAATAAACGATGTGTGTCAACATTTTGACTGACAGTTCGGAATGGAGTGTTTTTAGCCAGATTGTGGCGATAAAAGTGTGTAATTCACTGAACAAATTAGGCTTTTTCGATCGCTTTTTACGGAACTGATTTTATGAATCCACAAACTTTCTACATCCAAACGTGCTACATTAATGTCCAAGGTCGGCAGAGAAGTCGGATAATGGTCAGTGGTCTAATAATGTTCCGTTTTTTTTTAGTTCGAAGATGACCGACGAGAAGCCATTCCGTGTAATCATCTGGGCTGTACCTCGCTCAATCTCAACATGTGTTCTGAAATGCCTCGGTTTCCAGCCAAATACACAGGTAAACATGAGTGAAACAATTGTTCCTTTATGCCCCGGTGACACTTGCCCGCATTTTGGTTTGCGCATAGTTTGCGCATAGACACATACTCTTGCGTGCCAATGCGGGAAGTATTCGTGGTAGCTTGCGGGAGGATGCGGGCGGATGCGGGCCGTGCGTGAAATGCGTGCCTGACAGAATTTTCAAAATGTTCAAAATTTTAGCACGACAATTTTGTTTGGCAACGTTCGGAACATTTCATGAACTATGCGCCTATGCGCTGCCTATAGTCGTGCCAGTGAGCGCCGTTGCGTGTCCGATGGCCTAGTGGCACGGGGTGGCACTCATGTTCACGACTAGTTAACGACTAATTTGCGCACAATTTGCGTATTTGCTGCGCATACTTCCCGCGCAGTTTTCGCATGCCATGCGCATAGTCTACGAATGCGTGTCCAGGTGGTTACACATTGCGTAAACTATTCGTAAAGTAGACGTGACCCTGCGTGCCACTAATTGGCACGCATTGGCACGCCACAGAGCGGGGCAGTGCGGGACCAAAATGCGGGCAAGTGTCAACGAGGCATTTGCCTCCTTTATCATCAGCAACACCACCAACATCAACAATTCACCATCATCATCATCACCATTGTCCCATCATCATCACCATGACCATCATGACCGTCGTCGCAATCACAATCACCATCATCATCATCACCACCCCTATCACATTCGTCATCATCATCATAATTACCATCATCACTAGCACCATCTCCATCACCACCACCACCATACTCATTATGAAAAATTTCCTCCTATTCATCCTCCGCCTCCTCAAATCATTACCACCACCATCATAATCATCACAATCCTCTTCTTCATCCTCATTTCCTCATATCGTACTAGTCATCATCATAACCACCATCATCACTAGCACCATCTCCATCACCAACACCACCATACTCATTACGAACATTTTCATCCTATTCATCTTCCACATCATATCATTACCACCATCATGTTCGTCATCATTACAATCATCACCGTCATTACAACCATCATCGCAATCCTCTTCTTCCTCCTCATTTCCTCGTATCGTACTATAGTCATCATCCTCCTCATCATCACATATAATTACAATCATTACATAATTACAATCATTACATCTTCTACCACTACCACCACCACCACCACCACCACCACCATCATTATTCATTATCAATCATTGGATCCTCTTCTCATTCTCATAAGTTCCTTCTTTCTCTCTCCCTCTCTCTATCTCTCCTTCCCCCGATCTCTCTTATTTTTGTCTTCTCTCTCTCTCTCTCTCTCCTACAGGCTTGGTTCGAGCCATACTGCCTCGCATTCTTTACCGATATCACCTGCAAGAAGATGGGCGTCTCTCTGCCTCGCTATATCAAAGATTTCAACCCGGAAGCTTTCGCTGGCGGCATGGCGTCCGCAGTAAAAGGAACTAAAATGGAGAACGCGTACTCTCCTGGCGAAATCGATTTGTCCCTCATTTTGTGAGTGCATTTTTTCTTCTTCAATTATCAAGTTTAACAGTCTTTTGCAGGCAATGACGTATGATTTTGATACAAGGGCATCCCTAGGCCCTTAGACCATTTTGAAGATCGCAGAACTCGTATATATTATATCAATGAATAAATAACAATAGAAAAGGCCTCAACTTATCAATACTTTTCCGATAGGGTACAAAATATGAACTACCTGCAATACTGGACTTGCCGATAGAAAGCCTGTTAGCATTGAAGTACGATCCTTTTAAAGTTTTTTCACTGAAGACATGATATTAATAGTAGGCCTACTTCTCGCAGAGGAAAAAGGAAACCAAGAAGTCACCTTTAACCAGTAAGTTGAAGGCAACCATATAATGTTTTAAGTACAAGGTTCAACTTGTCTTTGTTTTTTTTCTTCTTCTCAGGCATAGTTCTATTGGAAGTAGTTACATTCTTACGGAATTGGTTTTATTTCAGACGAGACGGTGTTCGGGACCAACTAGATTCTTTACCAGCCGGTAAGTCTCACATCATCAAGGACATGGCATACTCTGTCACGGGCTTCTATGACATGTTACCCAGCAAGGAGTCTAACTTCAAACATGTCTTCCTCATCCGCAAACCCGAATGCATGTTTCCATCATGGCGCCGGTTGCTCATGATCCAGCTAAAGATCATGGGAATGGAGGCGGGAAAACCTATCGAGGACGCTACGTTCGACATGACCACCGACGTCCCGTTCATGATGCCTGGATACATGTACAAGTGTCAATTCGACCTGTGGAAACACGTCCGCGAGAACATCGATCCCAACCCGGTGATTATCGACGCGGACGAGTTGGCCATGCACCCTGCCGAGCTGCTACCGAAGCTGTGCGAGGTATCAGGCATGCCCTTTGACCCCAGTCTCCTGGAATGGGACGAATCTCCCGACTGCTGCGGAGAGTGGCGCTCTCTTTTCCCCCTCAAGAAGAAAGACGGGACTCTGAATGGGCAGCAACATGAGATGGCCCTTCACAGCACATGTTTCAAAGCTCCCAGACCTCCGGTACCACGTGATGAAATGACCCCTGACATGATTAAATGCGTAGATGCAACCAAGGATTATTATGCCGAAATGGCTTCCCATCGAATCAAACCAAACCCCTAATCGACATAATATGACGTAAGCTTGTACTATTAGGCCTGTATTCTAATAAAATGTTAACCTGACGCTGCCCTTTAGTTCTTAATTGGGTTAAAAAAATTAGGGATTCCGAAATTAGTGTTAGGTCTAACTTTCCCTTTTGTTAAACGCGATCTAAGGGATTTAAGATCTGAGGTCGAGTCGAATTAAGTAGAATATAAGCCAGTTTCTCTAATCGAAACTTATTTGCGATTGATATCAATCAACTATGTACATAATGATAGGTTATAGGGGACTGCAAACTTGTGATTGACTATAGGATGTGCGATTATGAGACGGGGCCCAGAAAGTCTGTATAGAAGTAGTAGTTATTGAGCAGTTGCTCATAGAAATATTCCGCATGAATTAGAGTTGATTTGACCGGTCTAACACCATGACTTTCAAGAAAATAACTTTGGGTGATATCCATAGCCTTGTTTATATTACCTATTATCCGAACATGATTCTAGATAAATACAATGGTTTCCCTCATTGATTTCGTGAAAGTCTTTGTTAATTTAAAGTTAATCTGACTTTTCATACTTCGTTTTAATTTCGTTGAGCTAAAATCATATCGCTCAGTTTTTAAATATAATATGTGCAACTAAAAACAAATTGAAATATTAAATGTACCAAGTAGAGGTGTCGTGGTCGAGTGGATACGTCACGGGACTATCGTCCACAAGGTCCGCGGTTCGAGTCCCGCCGCGGCTCCAATGTCCTTTGGCAAGACATTAATCTACATTTGCCACAGGTGATGTAAAGTGGGTGCCTGCATATGGCAGGAATGTAATTCCTTGACATTCTGTAGCGCCTTATCATGGCAGGTCAGTTACAGCCAGGGTAATACTATGATACGTTGTGTTAAGCGCAGTAGAGTGTAGTAATAACAGTTGCGTTATATAAATTGACCCATTATTATATATTCGTAAAGGAATTCGTTTGCTTCTTTAATTTGCAAGATATTGTATTTTCTAAAATCCCCATAATTGATAGCAAGAGTATTAACCTACTTATATACTTTTCCAAGGTTATATTCTTGAATCTTTAATTTGCAAGATATTGTACAATATTTTTGTTTTATCCCAATTTATGGAATTATTTTAAAAAATAATTTGAAAATAATAGATCTAGATAATAGTATACACTCTCAAACTTTATTGAATAATAATTTGACAATGTGTGTTTTGCGTGACTGCTAAAGCATGTGTATGCTACTATTTTATTATCAACTTGGAAACCTACGCCCTTAAGTCATAAATGACAGTAATGAGGATTAATGCCCCTCAAAAGGGCACTAATACAGCACATCGACACGGTTTTGATCCTGGGGCCTCACAGTTGCGATGCCATTGCTTTGTCACTGAACCATGACTGTACGCAGCGGGGGCTAGGGTAGGGGGCAGTTTCCATAAATAAAAAAAAAAGAAAAGAAAATGCAAAACATTTTCAATAATTTATTGCATTTTACTTTGGTTCCCAACATAAAACAATCCTATGTGTTCCCATGCCTTGAGCCATAATGCATGGCCGTCCAGAGGATTTGTTTATGTTAGGGACCGGGGTAAAATGCAATAAATTATTGAAAATTTATTGCATTTTATGTTTTTTATTTTATTTATGGAAACTGCCCCCTTCCCTATAGCCCCCGCTGCGTACAGTCATGGTTCAGTGACAAAGCAATGATCTCGTAACTGTGAGGCCCCAGGATCAAAACCGTGTCGATGTGCTATATTAGTGCCCTTTTTGGGCATTAATCATCATTGCTGTCATTTATGACTTAAGGGCGTAGGTCACCTAGTTGATAAGAATAGTAGCATACACATGCTTTAGCAGTCACGCAAAACACACATTGTCAAATTATTAAAGACTTTGAGGGGTTATTTGAGGATGATTTCGCTTTTGTGGTAGAATTCTGCTAAAAAGTAGTGGAATCCACTCTCCGATGTGTAATTCAAACCTTACAAATTCAAATCGTGATTTTGTTGCCCTTAAAAACAAAACATAATATACATGATGTACATGTAGGCCTATGTACGTTCTTTTTCTTCTTGTTTTCAAACCGCGATCATCCCAAAAAATTCACCCCCTTTTCCGCGAATTTATCATTTTCATACGTAGGCCTACGTTCAGTCAATAATAATAATAATACTAATAGGCATTTCTATAGCACCATCTATCTAGAAATTCTATTCCGAGGCGAATTTTATTATTACCCCGGTTTTAGCCTAGCTGCCATCACAGCGCTCTAGCATTTCAAGGAATTAATTCCTGCCAGGTACCCATTTACATCACCTGGGTTGAGTGTAAAAGAAGTGTCAACAACGCTAGTGGACGTACCAGAATGAAAGTTAATAATTGATCTAAAAAGCAGTTAACTGTTTCACTCCTCTCCATATACCAAGAAAGAACACGACCGGATTACAATATATGACGTACTGTACTATAACTTAAGCGTACTGTTTAAGCAAAACAATAATTTGACCTACCTGTCTACATTTGTGTGTGTGTAAGATAACAGTACAGAGACTAAGCCTTGATTTTTTTAATGTTTTATAACCAAATGCAATTTCATTGACACATGTAAATTGAGTCTATTTTTTAATACAAACTTATGAATTTTAGAAAATGGACAATTGTCATAATCTCGAACTAACTTTAAAAGTGATAGTTTGAATAGTTGAATGTACGTTGAATATAGTTCACAATAACTGCACATAGGTGTCCCTATATGCTATATATTCATTTTACTTGACAAACGTCTTTCCATTTTCGAGCCGTTCGTCTGGGCAATTTCGGAGGAAAGGTCAATTACAAATTAGAAATACCCATAAACATAATTGCAGCAAGTTATCATCAAAGCTATTTCAGTTTTTTTCAGAGGGGGGGGGGGGGGGGGGGGGGGGGGGGGGGGGGGGG